GCTGAACAGGGAGACAAGTGAATGGAGGATGGATGCTGCACGGCTGAGCAGCAGAGGGGTGGTTGGAGGACTGGTGAACAGAAGACATTTAGGAAGAGGCAATTCCTAAGCAAATTTGTTTTCTGTTTAGAATAGATTAGTTCAGGCTTCAAGAAAAGGGGAGAAAGAAAGACCTACCCCTTAAAAAAAAAATAGGCACGAGAGGAAAAAGAAGATCATTTGGCAGGGTGTAATTCTACAGCATGCACAGGAATAGTTTCTAAACTGGAGAGAGAACCAGTTCAGACTGGTTTAACAGAAACTTCATGCATCAGAAACCTCTAGCAAGGGCATTAGAATACAAGCTCTGCATCTTTGGAACAAGCTCATGGCAGCTCACTGCTGATCCGCAGGGCCCAACACAGTAACTCGACAGCTTTTGAGCATTTCTGCCATTATAATTAAGTCTCCTCAGGCATGTCTCAAATGCCACTTCATGCTCCAAAATAGATTTGCAGCCATCTCCAAGACAGAGAAAATGGTTGTATTTTCAGGCACTGCTACCAACTTCAGAATTTGATCATATTCATTAAAGAGACTATTCTGTTTTGGTTTGGTTTTAATGAAAGCTCTACTGTCCGAAGTCATGTGATTGCATGGAAAAAATCTGTTTCTGTCAAGGAAGAGTGTGTATATTGTGGTGGAGGGAGTAGAAGCTGGCAAAAGTATCTGGGAAACTGATCTAAACAGGCAAAAAAAAAAAAACCCAAGAGGGAATGATACCCAGAAACATCCTATTTAAAGACTGACTTGCAAGCTTTTGGTGGAAATATCTGGTGTTGCTTTTGCATGAACCATGCAAATCCAAGGGTAGGAAGCTCCAGTGCATGAGCACCCACATGAGGCTGGGAGACCTGCGCTCACTTCTGTGCTCTGCTCATGGCTGTGCAGTGCTGTGTTCTGAGGGCTCACAGGTGAGATGTGAGACCTAAAACATGGATGAAGTTCAGGTACAGTAGCATGGACCGCAAAACTACCAAGGGAATATGAATCCAAGGCTTACAGGGCTCATGGAAACCATGGCATCTCACACCTTAGTGTGAGACTTAGAAGTCTGTGGTGTTTGACATTACTAAATGCTCAAGGCAGCACCATACAGGACATTAAGATATTGCTGCCCCCCTCTTGTGGTCACCTTAGCAGCTGGCAAAGCACACCAGGGAACTGCTCTGGCTGCAAAATTATCCTTAAGTGAATGATAATAATAAAGCAGCAATGCAGCCCACAGACACCTGTGAAGGCACACAGACAAGTGCAGATGTTTCCAGGGTGCAGCTGGTGGAAGGATCAGCTCCCAAGAAACTTACATGACAAAGGCTCTATCTCCAATTTAAAGAAGAGTTTCTGGCTAGGGGAGTCCCAGCGGTTCAAATTCCTGGGCCAGCACAGTGAATGTTTCTCACTGGGAACCATCACAAATATTTTTTAACAATCTTTAGGCTCCCAGCATACGGGTTAGGTGTGTCGAAGCAGAGAACAAAGACACAGACACTTTGTCTACACAGAGATTTGTGGAAAATTTCCCATGTTCTTGCTACAGCGCCTGGCTGGCTCCACCAGAGCTCTTAGCCTTTGCAGCTCCTGTCGGTTGTTAGCTGTCATTTTGTATATCCTCTCATGTAGACTGGCTTTGGGCAACTTGGAGAACACAGTAATTAAGTGCTGGGTCTGCCCTTTGCTAACTCTCCTCGAGCTCTTACGGGAACCAACGGGAGTTTCAAAATTCCTGACACAGACACAGATGCAGATGAGGACATTTCTGAGAGGCAATCATTGACTAAGGGCCACAGAAATTCTGTCACACCTAAGGTGGCACCTTGCCTGGGAAACACTCATTTCCCTGTGACACTGTTCAGCCAAGCTTCTTTGCAAAAACTTCCACCAGACCCTTTTATGGTCCTTGTTGCAGAAGAGATTTGACCTGCCATCACTTATTTCAAATAAAAGTTGCCACATTTCACCATATTTCCCTGTGTTAGTATAGTACCACACAGTAGGGTGCTTGATGTCTATCTTGGTGCTTGATGACCCAGAGAGAGTATTTCCAACTTCTCTCTCCATTTCTTCAAGGAGAAAACAGTATGCCTGGAAGGTTTTCATAGGCTTTCCTGCATGGACATGGCTTTCCCAAGCAAGGTGTGCTTACTAAATTCCGGAAAAGCCATGGCACTGCAAATCTGCACCTGAACTTACTCTGAAAGAATGACTTAAGGTGGATAAGTGTTGTAGATGCAGGCTCTAAATGATGCCACTACTGAACAAAGAGAACCTCAAATCAGACTACAAGTCCGCTTTATTTAGCAAGTGCTGAAATTCACTAACTAGTTTAAACCCCATGAAGTCCAGCTACTCAAGGATGAGAGGAAAGCAAAGGGCTGGGCCCTGGAGCAGAACTGCTGGCAGAGGGCTGCAGCCCAGCTTGGACTTGACCAAACCTTTGCGTCCCTTATCTGAATGGCTGCTCAACATGCACCCTCTGTTCACGCAGCTGAGACTTGGACAAAGCCCGGGTCAGGAATCCCAGAACCAGCTCGAAAACGTGCACCACTGTCCTCTCCCTGGCTGCAGCCAGCGTCCTCTCCCCTGTCAGCCCGCAGTGGCCTCTGCTAATTTTAACTATAGCAGCAGAGCATGTTGGAGAAGGCTCTAAGTCATCACAGGAGGGAGCATAAGAGGCACTTCTCCCCAGGATTAGGCTGGTATCTGCTCTGCCCACCAGGAAATTGGTTGTCTTCTTAGAGAAAACTGCAGTGAAAACAGGCTGCAGACTCAAGTCTCAAGAAGAGCACAACAGGTGCCTGCACAAGCATGCGCTGCAGGAGGATTCTTGCACACTTTCCCCGCTTTTCTTACAGCACTGAAAAGATCATTTGTGTTTTCCAAAAGCAATGTACAAGCTAGGGTTAGACTGAGCTTATGCCTATTGCCACTTCTCCTTTTTTGAGTCTTGGCTGTGTTTCCTAAACCTAATAAAAATTCTGCAAAATCTCTGCTTTACTAAAATATCTTTCTTCTGGTCCACTTTAAGAAATTCTAGGTTTTGTTAATTTAGAAGGCTCCATGGAGAATGAGTATGACTGTGATATGACTCTGTTCACATCTAGGCTCAGCATGACTTTGACTCCTTAATTTGGAGGTAAAAGCCTCTGAGTTCATATTTAGGAGCCCAATGCACCTATCAATAGAAGCAAGACTGATCGTTTTTAATGGTTCTTGTAAAGGGGAAAAATAATCAAGTTTCCTTTTCACATGATACATTGCAGGCGTAGGATTCTTACCTTGTAAAAAGTTTCAAAATCTAGGCTCCCTCATTCCAGTTTGAAAAATAAGCAAATTTTGGAATGTTGGAATTTCTCTTGGAAGAATTCTTGTTTCTTCCTGGGGAAAGAGCCGTTCCCTGTGAGCAAGGCAGCAGCCCATGGGCAGCAGAGAGGGGCTATGAAATGAGGGCCAAGGCTGGCGCAAGGCCGAGCCGCAGCCCGGAGCCAGGAGCTCCGAGGCGAGCGCCCGGCCCAGGCTGCGCTGGGGCTGCGAGCGCAGCCCCGTGCTGACCCCCCACGGCGGCACCGGGGCAATGCATGTCTCCAAGCCCGGCGTGTGCAGCTTTGCAGGCCCAGCCTGCAGGGCTCTGTGCAGTGTTTTGCGTTGCACAGAGATGCTACTCTTCCTCGCTGCCCTTCTCCTCCTCACACCAGCAGGCCGCAAGGGCCGCCCGTGCTCACGGCAGGGGCCCACTGGCCAGCAGGGAAGACCAGCAGCTGCTCCGTGCGCGCGCTGGCTTTTGGGGTGGTGGGACAAAGTGCTTCATGAGCCGCGAATCCAACATGAGGGCTCTGGCCAGACCTGCCAGTGCCACATCTAGTGCCCCTAGACAGAGAGATGTGCTTTAACTGGAAGAAAGACACTGTAAATGGACGTGGCCTCTCTCTCTCTGGAGACTATCAGAAGCAGCTTTGGTTCAAGCAGCAGGTTCTCAGCACAGATTGTCCACTCTGTGCCCTAAGTAGATAACTCTGGGCTGCCCTTCGCATTGCATGGAAAGGGACAACGGGACACCTTGAAATGGCAGAACAGGAGCCAGTGTGGGTCAGGTGTGAGAGAAGGAGGTGGTGGTGATAAAGTAAAAGAGAGCCAGAGAGGAGTGCAGGAGAGGAAACCTCCTCTCAACAGGCCTTTCCAGAGGCCCTGCACTGCCAGTTGGGTGAGATGGGGTAGAATAGCCTACTTAGCACCCATATCCCTTGCTCATTAGCAGAATTTACATTGCAGTGCCTGAGCGATCACCAGCCTGGAGATACAGCTAGAGCAACTCCTGCCTGTAGCATCTGCTTCTGGTTTCAGGCCTGAACCCCAAACCAGTCTGACCAGCTGGAACCCAGTTTCAGGTTACACCCTTCTCTACTCTCTCCCTGACTTAGTGAGGAATGGTGTCACTCCCAGCACTCCCCCTCATGTCATGCCCTCTCCAACAAGTGCTGCATTCACCAGGCTGTGCCGTGTCCCCCAACGCCCGGCCCTCCCAGCAGCACAGGATCCTGGCTGCAGGAATGCCAGAGCATCCTGCCCGGAGCTGCCGCAGTCTGAAGGGATGACGACAGGGTGTGAGAGCCTCTGTAGGAACCCGACCTCCTCCCCTTTGAAGGCCGCTGCTTCCCAGAAACCGCTCCCAGGGCAGATAAGACAAACAACTCCTTTTTATTACAACTTCTCTTACCAGAGTAAATGAACAAAAAAAAATCAAGATTTTAGGCTTATCATATAGACAATAATGGGCTATGAGGAGGGGGGAAAAAAAGGAAGAAATGACACTAGGCAGACCAAGAAAGGGGAGTATCCGACCACAGGGATCCTGAGCATGAGTGCCCCTGCTAAAGCGAGGAGCAGGCAGTTCGATGGCCAGGGCTCTGCGGGCAGTTGTTTCTTCCCTTCCAGTCCAGGTATCAGCCTGAAGAGGCAGCTCCCCTAGTGCTGCTCTGCTGCAGCTCAGAGCGTGGCTTCACCCCAGCCTTCCAGAGCTGCTCCACCCTTGGCCTTGAAAAGGATGACCCCGTGCACCAGGGTCCAGATATTTAAGGTAAATGTCACACACACACACATACATACATACACACATGCACACAAAGCTTTCCCCTCTCTTCACGGCAGGAATTTTCTAAGAGTAGCAAGGAAGGGGAACTTGTAGTTGACGCAAAGCCAACACTGAACGAAGCTTATCAGGCACTTTGGAAATGGCAGCTTCTGCCGCCAACAGAAATCTCCAGCTCCCAGCGGTGCAAGCCTCTTCAGAGAAACTTCAGAGAAAAAAGCAACACAGAACCGGGGAGTACCCTGCTACAACAGCCTTACTATTGAACATAGAGGACCTTACAGATGGGGGGAATTTCCCCCGCTGCCTCTTGGCCTGGGATTACCTTTGGAGCTGGGCACGCCTTGCACCAAAAAGGGGAGGGCAGAAGTGCGGGAGCTCCAGTGCGAGCCCTGCTGCTCCTGTGCTGTGGGAGACATCAGGTGCCAGGGCAGCGGCTGTGCTCCAGGCAGAGATGGGAGGGAAACAAGAGCGACAGCAGAGACTCCCTCCAAGAGCAAGGGAGCTGCTGCCCCGGCCGCTGCTCAGCAGCACAACAGGGCCGCACAGCAGCTTCAGCGCGTGGGGCAGGTACATACTGCCCTTCAGGTACTGACCCAAGGCCTGTGCCATCCCTTGCAGGTTCCTCCTTGCATCCCCTTCCTTCACTGTGCTTCTCTCCACAGCCTCTCCTTCTCCTTCCTCAGAAGCAGCTTCCCAGCTGCAATGCTGAGCTGTTCTCTGGCGGGACTTCTCCAGGCAGCCTCTTTGGGAGCGCCAGGCATCACCGGCTGGCACAGCAGCAGCAGACGGACTGGCTCTGAGGGAGCTGGTCCTGCCACTCTCCTCTTAACCATTAGCCAGGATGGCTGGGAACAGCCATGTGGGAACATGTGGGAACATTTCCTTTCATTTTACTTAAGGATAAAGAATAAATATTTTATCAATATCTTCAGGGTTTGAGTTAATGCTAAAAAAAGCACATAGCAACTCATGAGAAGGCAATGGTGGCTGTAGCATGCAGCCACGCAAAAAAAAAAATCTAGGTGCATTTTTATGTTAAAAAACAAAATCTATTGATTAAAACAGAAGTTTCCTTGTTTCTGTCCACCTCAGGATCAAAAAACACTTGAGAGTGTCACAGAGCTCTCAGAACAGGCTGAGCTGGTTATGTAAAACACACAACCGCCAAGAGACTCACCACAACCACAAGGATTAGTGGAAGGCAAGGCCACATTGCAAAGGTCTGGGAAAAAATGGAGGCAAATAAGAGACTGGGTAGAAGAAAGTGGCACTGCACAAATAAAAATTGATGGCTATGGTGAGTTTGCACCATTCATGAGTATGAGTGCTACACAAATTCAGTCTCAGGATCCTTCAGGAAATACAGCTGAGTTCTGCTCCATGTTTGAGGAGGAAAAAAACAATGTCACTCAGAGTTGTCACTGAAGTGTTTCAAGCTGGGAAGGGACAGCCGTCAGAAAGCATCAAAATGTTCCTCAGTTTCCAGGACAGCCAGTTATCCAGGACAATAACAATCATAGTACTGCCAAATCATGGCTAGATCTTGGCCTCATGCTACAAACGTCTTCTAACAGAAAATGTCCTTCAGGTGCAAGTCTGTATTTAAAGACAAAACCCCAAAACTTTTTGGGAGTGCCCCAATGCTGGGCTAGAAGGAAGAGAGAAGTTGTTGGTCAGACTGGTTTGGTGGCACCATTGTAGAACAGGTGCGTAGTGTCCTCTGAGGTGGAGAGGGTTGAGTTGGTAGCAGTGGCTGGCTGACGGCGTCTGCTGTTCTTCCTTTTCTTGAGGAAGAAGTAGCCAATGATCACCAGGACCACCATGATGCAGATTGCAAGGAGCACAGCAATCACCACCTCAAAGGCACCTGCAGGAGGTACATGCACACAAATTACAAGGGTCGTTCCACTACCCTAAAGCAGCACAACTGGTCAGAAAGAAGCAAGCACAAAAGCTGCTCAAGAAGCTACGCTGGCAAAGAGAAGGGCACTGAACATAAAGCTGAGCAGAGAAGAAGGCAGGCAACTGCATGGCATAAAGGTCTGGCCAGGGTATGGCAGGCTTCTCTCATCTAAATTGCAGTTCCCATCATTTCTCAGCTGCGCTATGCCCTCTAAAGGCGAGGAGGTGCTAGCTGATATGACCACACATGGGTATTTAACCCTTTTCCAACGCTGCTTCATGAATCAACTGGGAGTTCACAAATGGCTAGATGGAGTTAACACTGTCTGGAGTGGATCATCATGTTGGGGGAGTGAGACCTGTGGCGGATTCAATAGGTGCAGGGGGGACACTATGGGGAAAGAGCTCATAGCTGTGCTCTGAGCAAACACACGCTGGCAGTCTTCTACCTTGCTGACCAAACTCCTGTGTCACCAGTGCAGACAGGTCAGATGGGATGTATTTGAGAGGTGGGGTGAATCAGGGGGGTAAATCAATCTCTGGGGCTTGAACAGAAATGTAAAATATCAGGATTGCTTTAGTGAAGAAAGAGATGTTATAATACTGTGGTGAAGGGTCACAAAAGTTAATGTGCATGTTATTCTTCACAAGATCTTGATTTTTTTTTGAGAAATAATTGATCCTTATGTAAACAGGACTCTTAAAAATACCAGGGAAAAAACATTCTCTGCTATTTTTGACTTTGAACACCGGAGTATTTATGCAAATGTTGACTGAAAGAGAATCAGAGGCTCTGCTGACGAGACACAGGCAAAGAAATCAGACCACAGATACATAGTCTTCAGAAGTGTCTTTTTAGCTACTGTTAGTGTACCAGACTGTTCCCTCAACTTAAAAAGACAGTGGTAGGGAGGTTATTAATTTCAAGTAAAGGCAAAATACTTTTCAGGAGAGAGTAAAAGTAATAATCTCTGTAGGGAGACAGAGTTAAGTAAGTGTTACTCACTTAAGCTAGCAGTTTGGTGCTCAAATGATTCCCATCTCCGGCCAATGACATCTGCTTCTGAATAGGAAGAAATGGGAAAAACATTTTATAAGGAGAAATGAAAACAAGGGATAAGACTGTTTATAGCATGGTGCTTCAGAAGAGTAGCAGCAGGTGGCTTCATCTTGGATATGCTTTGGCTGAATTCCTCTCATTGCTGCTGCTGGCTTCCCCAGGAGCACTTACTGCTCCCTACACTGGAAGAGCCTTCCCTCTTGTTTGTTTAATGCTAACCATCAAGGATATTCTTGCATTTCAGGGAACAGTAATGAATAGTTCCTTATCTTCTCCAGGTACTGGCAAATGTAAATATGGCTGCTTCTCCCCTCTCTTCCTCCCCTCTTGGTTTCTATCTCTTGGGGACCATAAAATTTAATCAGATGGGATTTTTAAGGATCCAATCCTGGCTACACTGGCTTACTTGTGATGCCTGTACATGACTTCATGCACTCTTCCTCTTCTCCAAAGTTGTTCTGGTTACCGTCACAGCCCCCATAGGTAAAGCGGTCACATTTCTCAGTGAATGGGTTGTAGTACCAGCGTGGGATGCTCTCCGTGCACAGTCCAGTATCGGGCAAATCCACACAGTGACCTAGCAAAGCAAGAGATGTTGTAGCCCAAGCTGTGTGTTCCCAAAGCAGCAACATTTTCTGTGTGAGCTAAAAAAGCCTAAGCACCTCTGGAACAGAGAACTCGTGGTTAGACCAGTGTCTCTCAAGGTCCCACTGTCCAGCTGCCAACTGTTTAAAACTGGGCATGGCCTAGTTGAGCTGCTATCTGCCTGTAAACCTGACCAGTAACTAGGAAACAGAAATATCAGAGTGTGCAGTCATGCTAGACCTTGAATTCAGTCCCCTGAAGAAATGATTTGTCCTTCTCAGGAAGGCACAAGGGATACAGTCATATGAAGAGTGTGTAACTAGTGGAATAAGGAATACAGGTGAAGCATAAATGATGGTGCCTGTGAAACTGGTCTGGTTAAAGTCTTCACTAAAAGCAAGCTGCATTAAACTGACTTGGGATATACTCTTTTAGCTCAGTGGCATCACCAGGGTCTATACTGGGGTAAACAGGACAAAGGCAGGGGATCTTTTCTATGATTACCCATACTATGTAATTGCTATGTCCTCCACCCTGCTTTGATCTGTGCTATTTCCCAAACGCTGCTAGGTAGTCTGCAGGGTACAGCACAGGACAGGTGCTGTGTCCAACAGGCCATATGGATGAGACCACCTTGGTGGAAAGAATTTAGACATATGAGTGAAACCTGGCTATAAATAGCTGTACTCGAGGTCAGAGGACAGGTCTTTGATCATTTTAATATGACTACAACCACTGGGACTGTCTAGATACTACACCTTTTCTGAATTAGTCAGGAAAGCAGTTTTACCATAGAGCAGAAGACTGGAGAAGGAGGCCAAAACAGTCAGCCTACATGCTCTTGACAGTACCTACCTTTTTCATTTGTGATATTGATTTTCTGCAGTCTATTGAACTCACGAGCATCTGCAAGAGAAACATTTCATGCTAAAACTACCCTCCCCAGCTGAATACCAAAAGAATGCTTCTACCCATACAAATGTGGACAGAAAGAGCTTTCCTGCAGATACCTTTGCTATCATAAGCCAAGGAAAGGGAGATACAAATTGAGTTTATAAACTCCGGAAATTAAAATGTAAGTAGGATTCCCAGTTTCAGTTCCACAAATACAGAAGCTAACAAAAGCGAAGCTAAACACAAGTCGCTTTTTTAGCTTTTTTCCATCAAAGAAGTGAGGGAACTATCGCTCCAACACTATGACTAAGCACTAGTGTCACATCACTGTAGCCAAGTGCTTGTAGCCTAGAAAAGCTGAAGCCTCCCACCACTTCCAATGGCAATTGTCAGAAGGGAGGAGGACAGGATTACAAGCTTCAGCAGTTAGCTGCTGTGCCTTTACCATAGCATAGTGTAAGGTTGTCAAGGGGACAGTAAGATACAAGAATTAATGGATTGGGAGAATTCATGGTTTTATTAATCACCTCCAAGCATTAGGTCATTCAGAGGGAAAGTACCAGAAAGCAAGGAGTGGACAGGCTCTGAAGAACTGCAGACAGATACGGAGAAGAGAGTGGAAGAGTATTCAAGAGGCAGGAGAAATCCCAGAAGTATGATCAGCTCTTGCAATCAGCAGGGTTAGGGGAGATGGCAGAATCTGGAAAGATGATAATACTTTCAAAGAGGTAATACAGCATAAGCAGATGAGAACAGAAGGCAACAGAAAGCATTGAGCCAGTAAATAAAACTTAGATTACACTTGCTCCTGTGCAAACAGGGTTTATAAGTCAGAATGTGAAGTACCTACATTGTTCACAATACATCTCATCTGATCCATCAGCACAGTCTAGGGTTTCGTCACATTCCAGATAGGCATCAATGCAACAGCCATCCTTGCATCTGAAGGTGCGGGGATGACAGTTCCCATTGCACACTGCACCAGAAACAGTTCAGACAATTCATTAAAATATATATTTTTCCTCTGCCATATGGATGTTTTATGAAGGACTGAAAAGTTGGTGATAGGACTGGCAAACAAGACAGATTGGATAAGGCGTCTGTTCAATGTTATCCTGAACACAAAAGAAAACAGCAACAACAACAAAACCACTTCTACATTTCCTCTAAGAAAATAACCACACAGAAGGTGGAGTCAGGAATAAACTAGCCAGCAGGAATACGGAGACACTGCCCAACCATGCAGTGATTGAATTAAGAGAGCCAAAGCTCTGCTAGACTTGAATCAGCAAGGGACGTGAGGTGCAACATGAATGGCTTCCATGGGCATATTACTTGCATAAGAAAGGTTTAGGAAATCGAAAGTGCTCTCCTCTGTTGGGCTGTGGACGTGGTAACAAAGGATGCAGAAGGCACTGAGGTCTTCAGTGCCATATTTGCCTCAGTCTTTACAGGGAAGGTCTGCCCTCAACTCTTCCAGGTCCCTGGCCCATTTGTAAACTCTTCCTGGTGAAGCCTGGCCTATAGCAGAATCACGATCACATTAAAGACCACTTAAACAAAGGGGACAAATGTAAGTCCATGGGATGATGTGGGCGGCATCCAAGAATGCTGAGAGCTGCCTGATGTCTGTGAGAGGCTGCTCTCTACCATCTTTGAAAGTAGTGGTGATCGGGGGAGGTTCCTGATAGTTGGAAAATAGTATACATCACTTCCATCTTCTAGAACAGCAAGGATCTGGAGAACTACAGACTGGCCAGCTGAATGTCATTCCCTAGGAAGATTATGCAGCAAATCTCTCTGGATGAGGGGATGGAGCACACCCTGAGCAAGCTTGTGAATTATACTGAATTCGGGAGGAGCAGCTGATTTACTGCAGGGAAGAGATGCCATGCAGAGAGGCCTTGGCATGCTGGAGACATGCCTCAGAGAAGGCAAAGGCAAATGGAAAGGCTAAGGAACAAGTAAAAGTCCCACACCTGAGAAAGAACAACTCCAGGCGACAGTGCAGGCACCAGTGAGCTAGAAAGCAATTCTGCAGAAAAAGACCCAGCATCAGGATGGACAAGCTGAACATGAGTCAGTGGTGAGCCCCCGTGGCAATGAAGGCCAGCTGCATCCCAGGCTGTGTAACCCAGCAGAGAGAAGCAATTAGCCCCCTCTACTCCAAAAATTGTCCTCCGTGTTGAACACTGTGCCCAATTCTGGGCTGCCCAGTACATGAAAGACGTTAGTGTACTGGAATGAACCCAACAGACTCCCCAAGGGGTTGCAGGACATGGCCTAATGTAAAGCCACAGAGAAGACAGAGATAGACTCTGCAGAGTTGCACAATAATAGGATGAGAGGAATTTGCAGCAAGGGAAATTCTGATTTGGTAATAGGAAAAAGAAATCATAATAAGGGTGGTCAAACAATTGTGCAGGTTGCCCACAGAGAATGCACAGTCTCATTCCTCAGAGATACTCAAAGCTGGACTGGACACAGTCCCGAGCAACCTGATATGATCCATTACTGGCCCTGCTTTGAGCAGTGGGTGGGACCTCCAGAGGTATTTTCCAACCAGAATTATCCTATGACTCGAAAATGAAAGGCATGGTGGAGAAATCCCTCTCCAATGCCTTGTTTCTACACTGAGTGTTAGTTAAAGAGCCATGGGAATGAATATGAGAAACTAAGTCTGAGAATACACAGAATACATGATTATGTGGTGGTACAAGAGGCTTACCTGGCTGCTGTCGTCCACCAACAGAACCTGAAGAGAGAACAGGAAAAACAAAATGAAATCACCAATATATTACACTGTTAGCTCAGGATCGGATTTAGACTGCCTTCATGCCTTATCTAAGAAATGTATCTTTTTTTTTTCCCTGAAACAAACCTCTATAGGGATGGGGAGTAGAAATGCAAATTTTCACAATCCAGAGAACCCCATATGAGCAATAACTATATGAGGCAGGACTGCAAAGGGACAAGGCAAAGTTCTTATTGCTAGCTACACCCTGAAAAATCCTTCAGTGTTAAGCCATCCACAGACACAACTATGACATAAATTTGAGGGGTGAGAAGCAAGGGGAGGCACATCTACCTCTCCCACAACACAACACCAGCCTCTGAATGCAGGTCGAGGATGTGGCACTAGGATTCTGGGGAGGTTTCTGTGGACGCCATGGGCACACAGTCCTAGAATGCATCTTGCAAGCATAATGAACCTGCTTCCTGCTGCTGTTGTCTACTCTGGTTAGAGATTCTAAAATTATCTTTGATAACATTTCCTACTGACTGGCACACAGACAGGGAAGCTGTGCTCCAGGAGCTGGACCAGATCCTTGGCAGTGCAGTACTCCTGTTAGTAAATAACCTGGTCTTCTCAGCTCTCCTAATTCATATTCTATCTGCCCACAGAATCACCAGTCCTATGAGAAAGAAGAGGTTGAATTTTGAAACAGACTCACCTTTAACATTTTTGCAGGCAAGTTTACACTCCTCTTCCCGTAAGTAGTTGTTCTTGTTGGGCTTGCAGCCCCCAAAAATGAATGGCTCACACTGCTGAAGACTTGGGTTATAAAACCAACGTGGAAAAGACCCCCGACATCGACCCACCTTCTTAGGAGTCAAACAATGCTCTGTCAAAAAAGTTAATAGAAAGGTCTGATTACTTTGCTTTATCTTCACATATGCATAAGAAAAAATCTTGCAGAGTAAGGTACCTTAACAGGATGAATACCTGACTGAAAGATATCTAAAGTCCCGAGTAGCATAGAAGAGACTGAAAAAGACTGAAAGAGCCTTTGGAAGTACAAAATCCAGATAAAGCCCAGGCCACTTTGCACATCATGCTCATAGTTCCACCTATGGTGCAGGTGAAGGGAATTAGGACCTTCCCAGCAAACCATGTAGTTCACACAACAGTTTGCATTCTCTGTCTCTCTTATTCCCTCAGCTTCAGTCTTCAGGCACTCTGGGGTCACCCAGCATGGCACACAGAGACTATCAGTTTATTGCAAGCTCCCACTTCTGCAAGAGGGCATGGAAACACTAAAATAGACCTCATGAATGCAGAGGTCTTCTTCTGCTTGGTTCAAATACCGTTTTTTACAAAAAAAAAAAAAAGACATACAAGTCTTGTCTCCCATTCAGGCTCTTAACAGAGGCCTGGCAATGCCAGAGCAGCACCCAGCTTTGGGGCAGTTTTGTCACAGACTCCAGCTGGATGGCTGTGGGGTTGGGCTCACCTTCAGTCTGCTCGGAATTCAGCACTAGGATGGTGAAGTTGGCGAAGTCCTGCTGTTGTGCTGTATCTGTGACTGTAAGCTGGAAGACATAAATCCCCATCTGCAGGTTGGAGACTTCCACCTGATCTTCTTCCAGTATCTGAGAACGCAAAAAGAGAGTTTATGCAGAGAAACATTGAACGAAGGGGTGAATGGAGCCATGAAAGGCTTGTAGGACTGTTGCATTAGCCCCAAAGAAGCTCGCCTGGAAACCTCCCATGAGAAGTCTGGCATTAAAAATATCTCAGTACTGTACAACCTCCCCCAAACCTGTGGGCTGGATTCTGACTGCTGGTGTCCACATGGAATAGGGGAGAGAAACAATACTACAAGCTCTATCAGAAATTCCACATTTTGGCAAACTTTGAAAAACTTTGAAAATATACTGGAAAAATAAAGCCATTTTTAGAGAAGACTGAAATAAGTTTAAATTTTGGGTTTTTTAAGTGGAAAACATTATGAATCATTTATTTAGTGGGTAAGTATTCTCCTTCATTTTGAATGTGACAATGTATTTAGTTTTAAAGATGGATATGCAATGAATATTGCTTTGTTTGCTGAGAGGTTTCTGAAAGAAATTACTGTCAGAATAGAAAGCTTTGGTATTATTGATACAAACATTTTCCCTATCTCTACCAACAACACTGGGCCCCCATTTCCATGCTCTCTCTGCCTTTTGGGGTATGTATCTAGAGAACATCATATGGCCACATGTTATTTTAATCAGACTAAAGAACAATAGTAAATTTGTACTGAAGTGTAAGGGCCAGTGAAAGAGGATTCTGAAGTGCAGCAGTTGTGATATCTCTAGGCATTGCTCTAAAATATTTCACATCAATATTTTTGTTGTGTTCAAACACTTCCTACTTTCCCACAAGATCAGAGCAGTAAGGAGGAAGAACAGAGAAGGGATGCTAATAACAGAGGACTCCTCTCTCTTTTTTTTTCTTTTTTCTGAACATTATTTTCACTGGAGGAAGGGGAAAGGAAAGTGCAGGGAGCATTTCCAGATTTCCACAGCCCTCTCAGCATACATTCTAAAGAGACAGAAAGTCTGCAAAAAGTTCAGAAAAAGAGGAGAAGAGCCTGGGTTATTCAGGGCTCAAAGAGGCGACACACCAAAGTAGAGCAAAGAAAAACTAAGGGCAGGTCCCTTGTAGAAATATTGACTCAGGAGCAGGGCTGGTTCTTGCCCTGCAGCTGCTGTGCTCATGCACACACGCACAAGGGCAGGCCGGGCACTGCACAGACACAGACAGGGAATGTGGTGTCGGCAGCCCGAGCCCTGCAGCAGCTCAGCGACAGTGGCTCCTAGCAGGGCACGGAACGAAGGGCAGTGAGCACAGGGCACATGCCATGCCTCTGGAGGACAAGCTCTTGGCGCAAGGCAGAAGGACAAGGTGACCCCTAAGACATCATTTGTGAGAGCCCAATTTGATGCAGGCCACACATAAAAACGGGCAAGTTGCTTCCTCCGTGTAGCTGCCTACCTTCATCTCCACAGAGGGGTCTCCATGGATTTGTTTCCATTCGTAGCTGACAATCCCATGGTCATCGGTGCTCTCGGTGCCTCTCAGCAACACCACCTCGCCCGGCTGTACTTTCATGTTCATCCCGGTGCGGGCTATCGGGGGATGATCATCTGAAGAAGAAATACAGAGCACAGCTTGGGTAAGAGGCTGAAGAATGGTCTTCATGATAGGAGAGGAAGACTTTTCCAGTCTAAATGAGGACAGACTTCCATTGCTAATTATTAAAATTACTTTATTACAGTTGTGCTTCTTGCAGCCTGAGCAAGCAACAGGCAATCAACACAATTATTGCTGCCCTCACTAATTTAGTAACTCCGCAACCCCTTCCAGTTGTGCCTTTGAGCCAGTTGCCTACCTGGCTATTTCTGCCCACAGGAATCACTATAAGAGAGTGTGTCTGGCTAAAGGCACTGCGCTTCTAACAGTTACACCAGCACAGGGCAATCTCCACCCCTCCACGCAGGACACGACTTCACGTGGCTATTAAGGAATGTGGAACTGACTCTTATCTCTCCCCCCAGGATCTCTAAACATTATATTGATGTACTTATACAGTCCTTGGTAATCCGAGATTGGGACTGAAAATAGTTTTCCTCCGTCTTATCTCTCATGCCACATGCACTGAAAAGCACATACAAATGCTCCTCCTGCAAACAATATTTTGTGCCACTCAGTGTATCATCTCATCAGCAGCCATCCACAGGCCATTAAGTACTTTAGCAGACAGTTAGATGTAAAAAATGAAACCTGATCTGTGCCCACGCCGCCAGGAATAACCTACACAATGACACCTCCAGCGTCTTTGGGTCTGAACGTGGCTGCTCACAAGCCTCCTGCACGGTCAGAGGACAGAGCTCCACCCAGGAGCTCCTGCACCAAGCCCTACACTCAGTGTCCAAGTTCAAACTGAACCTTTTGGAAAAACATCAACTGTCATTTATAAACTAGCTATAAGCCACTATACATTATATGGCTCTATCAACTATGACTAAAGAAGAGGATTAGAGCCCAAATCCCTTGGAAAACTATTCTGGCAGCTAACTAATTTTACTGATATAAACTTGCACCTTATTTCCTGTTGGAATGTTTCTAGATTCAAGTCCCAGTTGTTGACCCTTGCTAGAGCCTTATAAAGAGGCCTTTCAATTAAGGCATATTTGCAAACAAAAATGACATTTAAAACAAATTACTCTGCAGTTCTTCCATCACTGAGTAGGACAGAGGTTTTGTAATGCGTTCCAGACAGTTACCACATATTCACTCTGAATCTTCAATTTTCTAGTATTTTTGGATGCTGAAACTGAATGAAAACTTTAATTCCACCCTGACCTTACACATGCTTCTGCCACCAGAAAAGTTACAGGTGAAGGAAACCTTTCCTTTTGCTGCCCATCACATGCTACCCACATTAGAGGCAGAGGGGAGCACCCTGATGTGCTTTCCCGAGGCACAGCTCCCTGCTGCTTTGTCCCTATGGGCTACGTGTCACAGTCACAGATCCCTTCTCAATCAGCCTGTTTTACCTAAAACACCAAACAAGACGCCAAACAGTGCCTAACAAGCCATGGGCAGGGAGCAGGACCAGCAGAACAGATAAATGATGCTTTGCTGTAACTCACCTGAGCTTGCTGAAGCCAATATCCATAGACCAAAGGAATGACTGGAGCCTGCACCACTTCCCAAACAGGGAATCAGAGGTGAAGAGTCCCCACATGCACCTTGCACACAGCACCCATGAGCAGTGGATGAGGGTCACATCCCTGCAGTTCCTCCCATGCAAACACCAGGCTCCTGGCACTGAGGAACACAGCCCATTCCCAGCCACCCTCCTGCCAGACTGGGCTTATTGGACAACCCAAATTACATCAAGGAAGGACCAGTTCTTCAGCATCACAGAGACTGGCCATTAACTTGTAACAATGCCAAATGGCACTGGCCCTCTGCATTTTAACCGCTTACATGCCAAACACTTCACCACACGTCGATTTATCTGCTTTGGGTTGTGGATTAAGTAGCAAAGTAAAAGGTCAGTTGTGATTCACATTTCAGCTAGATCTGCACATTCTGCCTCTGAGGAGCAAATTTCCCCAACTCCGCTCATCTCCAGAAGAACAGAGGCTTTGCTTGCATGCATCCGACTACCAAAGAGAATTTTCACTAAAAATGGGAAAATTATTTTCAGGGGAGTTGAGTTTCTCCTTCTGTCATAGAATTTTAGAAAAATGAGCAACTATTTATGTTACAGAGTGACTGTATCAAGCCCTTAGTGGCAGCGTGGGTCTCCCTGGCTCCGCTGCCAGCCGTGAATGGGCACATTCACTTTGAAGGCATTTCATTTTCCACCTAAGCTTCATAACCAAGCACTCACTGAACCACAGTAAATACCCATAAGCAGCTCTTAGAAGGGAGCTTGTCCCTTCATCTCTTTCTGCTTTGAAAGCCTGTTTGAAAAACAAAAGTTACCTTTATTATAATATGCTCTTTTGATGATGGAAGTTTTCAGCAAATGTCTGTAATTAAGAGTGAGATTAAAGCTTTATGATGCTACTCTAGGTCATACTTTTACTTTAAAGCACCAGCTCCTACAGCCACATTATTAAGTGAGAACTTCAGCTTTCATTTACACACAGGAAAGGGAAGTATCCTATGGAGCTGGAGAAAAAGCTTGAGCGAGTAAATCCAGAAAACTTAGAAACAAAATTCCCCTAACAAAGATTATTCAAGGCGTACTCAGGTCTTAATCCCTGTTTTTTGCTTCCTTCCCCGCCTCATCTCCCTGTTTTTTAACAGTTATGCAGCCAATGATTTGCCTGGCTTCAGTTATGCAGCCAATGGTTTGCCGCTTGACAGTGGAACAGATGTCTAAAAATATCTAGAGATAATAAAGATACTTAGTTCCTACAAGGGCTGCAAAACCTCTGGGGAATGAGAGATCCTCACTAGGGACCTACCTAGCAGAAGATCTGGGTGTCAATGAAATCCTGAGAGAGGAGAAGTCTTTGCAAATCCCCCAGATGGGGAAGTTTCTTTTGGGGCCCAGATACCAAAAGCCCTTGAGATATGCATTTACAGAAAAACAGATTTCCTCCATTCCAGTGCTCATGGATCTATAGACCCAGATGCCAATATGTTTTGAAACTGCTGCTAGAAAAATCTAGAAAAGATTCATATTGCCTTATTCTTTCTGTGGAAGAAGGGACCTGCCTCTCTCCGCAATTCCAGGAGAGCTTACAAATGAGATGAGTGCTGCTTACACCTTGCTGAGGACAGAAGTCACTGCTCATAGCCACAGGGCAGGGCAGTTACAGAGAGGGGTGCGGGAGGCACCCAAATCCCAGGGCAGAGCAGTGTCCATCAGATGTGCAGCCTCTGGGATCCGCCCCTTGGAAAAGCCCAAGAAATCGTGGACGGGGCAGACAGGAGTGCTGCAAATGGTAAAGTGCTGCTCTTCCATCACTCCCAAGGAAGTCGCCCGGGAGCCAAGAGCTTTCAAGGAGTGTTCATTCCAATCTCTCTCATCAACCCCACAAACCTCTCCAGAGCAACAGGCTAAGATAACGAAGGAAGATGTTTGTGCCAGCAGAAACAATATTAATTTGACTAATGAGGTGTGCAAGGGGAAGGGAACTATGCCACACAGTACACTTCTAGGAGAAAGGGAAATACAGACCAATGTACCATTTCCATAGGGATGCATCCTACTGGTGACAAGATAGCAACCACTACAAAATCCACCACACTACACTACAAAAAGCCACTGCAAATGTAGTTTTTTAGACAACTCAGAGCAAAGTGGCTCCCAGCTGGCATTAGTTTCTAGAGGCCTTTTCTGTAATGGCTTGTGAAAGGTGTGCACGGCAGGTCACCTTAACCTCTCTGTGACAATGCAGTGTAACAGAAAGGATTTTATGTTCAGAATAGTTGAAGCTGCTGCTCCCTCCTTTCTTCATCCTTGCTCAGGATGTTGGAAACCGGTTTGATCTGCTTGAACAGGGAGAGGAAACGACTCTCCTGCGGGTCCTTGTGCCACTTTAGTAGTTTGTTTCTCCAGTGTTCTTAAATAGACTGAGGTAGCCACCACATGCAGCTCTTCAGTAAATTTTGCATCATAAATAACAATTTCACAGCAATTAGAAGTCACTGTGCTCTGAGCAGGGGCTTGGATCAGATTATCTCCAAGGGCTTTTCTGGTATAAATAGGTTTATGAGTCTAAGTCCTGTTTATGAGTCTGATATAGGTCTGGAACCTGCAATGCCCTCATCTCCCTGCTGGTGCTGGGGGCATTTGAGGATGCTCAGCTAGCTCAGGACTTATCAGCATGTGCCGAGGGGAGGCCTAGTGACCAGAATTGTCTCAGCCTAGGCCTGGGTCCAGGCATTGTTCATTTTAGTCATATGGTACCTGAGGAACAGAAACTGGTGTGAGACCAAACATTCCAAGATGGATATGAATTTAAGGGGTCTCCCATTTGGATACCTTCTTGAGGTTTTAACCTGCAAATCTCTATCCACAGTGGGCAAAACCAGACACATTCTGAATCCTGCTGCGCCTCCAGCACTTCCTTTTTTTTCCCCTAAATGCAACAGGAATAGTATCACCACACATTTCATTACCACCACAAAAGATTCAGTTCAAGAAACGGACAAAGGTTCAGGGAGGTTATTTTCCAGTTTCACACCCCAAACTGGTTTGCCTAGACCAGAATAAGCTCAGGTAGTGGTTACTTAAACACTGGCCTCTGTTATTGCCAATAAAATGCGTGGTGAGCCTGCCCCTCCCGAATGAGCAAGGCATAAAGACTCGCATCAAAGTTCAGGCTGGGAAATGATTTAAGAAGACAGTGCCTTTTATCGACACCATCAAGGACTTCAGGCTTTACATTAGCTGGAGGAGGCAAGAGACAGAGCCAAGCTGCCATCACCCTTTCACACAGAAAGCAGAAGAATATTGAAGATAGATGATGTATAAAATCTGAATTTCATTGTTTATATTCATTTTTGCCAATATTCACTTTTTTTTTTTTCACTCACAACATCACAAGAGTGCCTGCACTGGCTTAGATTGAGGGTTCATCTATGTCTGTACCCAGTCCCAACCTGCGTGTGGATGCCTGGGGAAAAGCAAGAACAGGGCAAGCGTATGCAATGCTTTCCTGTAAAACTCTCCTAGATTTCTGCTGTTTTCCTCAGGCTCAGGAGACACTTCAAAATCTGTTTATTCCACAGCCCCCAGCTGTGCTCTCCCTTTCAAGTATTATCTAGTCTCCTTTTCAACAGATATAAAGCTCTTAATTCAACAGGAGTGCTCCCTGGGGTAGTCTTGTAGGTCTTGCTTGGTTTTTGCTAAGTTTTTGCTTGGCTTCACCTGCTGGGACAGGCAAACTACATAAATATGTCTGTATTCACTAGAAAAACCATGTGCTTCTGCTTCTCATTATTACAGCAAACATCTGGAGACTGTCACATGAACAAACCCTGGAGACCATCACATGAACAAACCCTGAAGTTCTCCCTGTCTTAGGAGAACTCACGGCACATCAAGATAAAGGGGTTATAAAGCAGTGTCTAAGTTCCCCTGAGCTTCTTGCAGCGCAGCCTGCAGGGGCTGACAACAGCATATCCACCAAAACAGCCACAGAACTTGGAGTTTTAATGGAGATACAGCACAACTGTAGGCAAACCAGACAGTTTGGTCTCTGCTGCAAAATCTGAGTCAAGTTTCTTGCCTATAAACATTCTAGGAGGAAACCTGGTGCACTGAAAAACAGATTCCTTAACAGTGGTTTCACTGTCCCTGGCACCTCAGGAACCTAGAAAGGTGCTGAAGCAAAAATGAGGTAGAACTTCCTTATTGTTCCCAGACGGACAGGGCCAATGCCCAGGGGCTTGTTAATTTGGTCTCCTGTATCCACCTACGCTCCGGCATTCCTTCTCCTCTCCCACTCAGCGGAAGTGAGGCACTTGCCCCTCCTGCTAGGACAAGCCCATTATTTGTGCTGGGTTCCTCCTGTCTTGACCCAGTTCCAATATGACACCTGGAGGGATTTGGAAGGGTTTTTTTTGTGTGTCTGTGTGTGTGGGTTTTTTTTTTCCCGGATCTGAACCCAAATCGACATCTGCATTCCTAAGTGTTTAATCAATTGCAGTGTGGAGGAGGATCATCTAGTATAGTTTGTTTTATATCTATTATTCACTGTTTCTCTGGTAAAACAACACCTTTTCAGCTCTGCATAGCTAAATAACAATAGTCCTTTGATGGCCCTGAAGGCAAATGGGAAGCTTTCACTACCAAAGAGGATACCTAAAGATTTCAGCAGAGAAGGGAAATGAATTTCCCACCATAGCAAAGCACAAATGTGGCAATGTGATGCAAAAACGCTCCCTCGGTGGAGGAGCAGCCACGTTCCCAGCTTCTGTTGCTACGCACCGAGCGAGCTGCCAAGCACCCTGGGTGCTGCAGGGTACCGAGGAGCCCAGGCCCTTGAGGAGCCCGGCCCTTCCCACACGCACCCTGGCGCAAACCCCACGTGAGCGAGGAGGACCCTGCCCTGCTCGGCAGGCTCCCGGCAGCATTCCTACCACGGCATTTCTAGGATGTTTTGCTCTTCTCACAGATAAGCTCGCCTCGGTTTCCCTGCCCACTACAGCAAGCCCAGAACGTATCAAAGTAGTGTTGGGGTTGGTCCGCAAGGCAGCACCTGCATGTATCTCTGGCACGCTCCAGAAGACACTCTGGTTTCCAAACGCGGCTGCTGCAGCTCCTTTTGCCTAGCCCACAGGCTCTCCAAAATGCCCACTGGCTGGCATGGCAAGCACAGTGCTAGTGGCGGCCTGAAAACCCAGGGGCCTGCGAGTGCTTTCCCAAGAGCTGCCCGTAGGAAGGAGGAGGCCTGCAGTCATGCTGCAGGAGCTGCTGATCCACAGAAGTGGAGAGCTTGAATCCCTCAACAGTGCTTTATATTTTAATCTAATCTTGTGAAATCAGGGTGTACTGGAGGTGATGTATTCCTTTTTCCTCCTACAACAAAGCATGTGGCCAGCATGCAGCTTCCAGTCCTAGAGACGTGCTAAAGATGCAAAGATACTTTAGGTTCTTCTTTAACTGCAGCTGCTGTGGAAAGGTTTTTAAGCCTGGAAGGGACATGCAACTATTGCAACAGTGAGCTAAGGATTTACCTCAAGGCTCTGAAACGCTGCCACATTGCTGCTAAAACTAGTGACCTGCAAGGCCTACCCAAGGAACATGGTCCTACTTTGAAACCCCTGCACTGCTACTAAGAATGACAGAAGAGGTCACTTTGGGGGTTGGTGAAATTGCACCTTGCAGCACCTCCATATCCCACAACAGCACTGGGATCACCCCAGAGAGACCTTGCCCGGCGCCAGTGCTGCTCCCCTTGTTATCTTAACATCTGCTTCCTTCCCACACCCAGGGAGGTCAGGGAAGGGAGGGAGAAGGATTACCTGCTCAAATGTCCCCTCAAAATGTCGGCCCATGCATCAACATGCAGCAACAACAACAACAACAATAAAAACAATTACGGTTGCCAAAGACACAGTCAAATTAGAGATATTCCAGCCTTGCTGGGCTTCCTCCAAGACAATTGCTCTGTTTTGTGGTTTTCTTAGCCTCCCCCCGGCTTTTTAAGGTGTTTCTGCACCTTTTGGAGACCAAAAGTGCAAAACAAGTGGCCCAGCTACAAATTAGCTTAATTCCCATCAGGATTCCTCTCCACTGGTGCAATCTTCTAGCAAGTTAAGAGGGAGGGGGAGGAGGAAGAGAGAGAAACCCACCCCCCAATCCAAAAGTTCTTCAATGAGCCCTGCTCAGGACTCCTTTCTGCCACAGCAGCAATGAGCAAAACCCCCAATTCCAGCCATATCAGGCCCCTCACCACCCAGGCTGGTTCTCACAAGATTCAGACACTGGCAGCAGAAGAGGTAAGTGGATTGCCTCCTGCCCCCAGGCAATTAAGAGATTAACACAGCCCTTTAAAACGCGGTGCTGCTTGGATTTTGCAGGATTTCACTTTCCAGCCTCAACTACCCGTGGGAGGGGAGGGAGAGGAAAAACAACTCCTTTTTCTCCAGGTTGTCAAGCAGCGAAACAAATGCCACATTCCGTAAACACCCCACCCTTTTCAAAGAGTTTGAGCAGTGACTCCCTCTCCATTCACCAGCAGGTAAACTGAGGCATGAATTTCAGGTGAGCTGATGGAGGTTACAGAAAACCCTTGTGGTGGAGGGTCTCCCCGTATTAAATACCCCCTTGCCCTGGCCATGCAGTATCACGGCCGCTCAAGCCACCCCTGGAAGAGGTGGCGCTCGTGGTCCCTAATGCTGCTGCAGCCCGAGCTTGCACCCACCGACCCGCTCGTGGCACCTTACCGCCAAACCCCCGCTCCTGCATTGATAAATAGGCATCGTACACGTTCCTCTTCACGTAGTTGAGGAAGCCCATCTTCCTGGCGAAGCGGCACACGAAAGTCTTTCTGTAGAGGCAGTTGAGGAGGAAGCAGCCCTGGATGTGGTCTTCCCCGGCGCCCGGGTGCTGCTCCACCAGCGCCAGGTTGCACATGGGGTCCTTGCAGCAAGCCCGGACACAGTCCCTGCCCCGATGGACCTGGGGCGACGACAGGAAGGTGGCTCCGTTCTGGACAGAGGCATCCGTGTCCAGCACGAAGTCGGGCATGCCGGTGGTGAAGTGGTCCAGGCAGGCCTCCCCAAAGGGCTTCTCCTCCTGCCCTTGGGCCCAGCGCGGGGCTGCCAGCAGCACCAGCGCGGCCCAGAGCACGGCCGGCAGCGCTCGCCTCCCTCTCACCATCCCTGCGCCCAGCCCTCGCCGTCACCGCCTCAGGTCCTTCCCGGCAGCACAGTGGGGCTGCAAAGGAGAGAAAGGCACCTGATTAAAACGACAGCAACAACAAAAAAGCCAAGACCCAGGTGCTTTAAGCAAGGAGGAGAGCTTCGTTCCCATGCCCGCAGGCTGGGATGCGGCCGGTTCCCCCCGTGCTGCTGAGCTGACCCTTCAGCCCCCGTGTGCGTCCCTGCGCAGGGAGCACCATGTTCCTGACCCTGCAGGGCCCATGTGCGTCCCATGTTCCTGACCCTGCGGCCCTGGTGTGCGGCCCCGCGCGGGGAGCACCGCGTTCCTGACCCCGTGTGCGGCCCCGCGCGGGGAGCACCGCGTTCCCGGGCACAGGCGCCTCCGCTCGCCCGGCAGCCCCGCGGCGCCCACCTGCAGGTGTCCGGACCCGCGAGAATCCTTGGGGAGCCTGGCCAGAGACAAAGGAGCGCAGGGGCCAGGAAGTGAAACGCAACTCCCTCCGAGAGGAACAAAATCAAGTCACTCCCCTGCACGGGTGATTAGGTAAGAGGAAGGGGAGGAGAGCAGGGCTGATACCGGCCTCCAGCCCTTTGGCACAGGTTGCTGGTGCTCAGGGAAAGGGGGGGGAATGGTCTTCCCAGGGGATGAGCGGTGTCCTTGCTGCCTCCTGCTGCTGCAAGGAAGGTCCGCGCTGCTTCTTGCCCTCGGGTGCAAAGGGATCAGCTGGCTGGCAGGCGTGAGCACCCCAGCTCTGCCCCTGGCACCCACAAATCCTCTGGTCAGGGGCATTTCAAAGGCCCCTGTGCAAGAGCCCCTTAAATCCAGGCTGTTTCCACAGAGGGGCCGTGCGGGGTTGCTGGCTCGCGTCCCACGCAGGCGCTGCCAAGCGTGTGACACCCGGCGTCCCGGTCCCAGCTAGGCTGGTGACTCAGCGGCCGCGCAGCCGCCACCGCCGCTGCTGGAGCCTGCGGCCCGGCAAGGCGCCCGCGGGCTCACCCTGCGCAGCGCCGCTCTGACGAGAGATTTGGGCAACCAAAACCCCAACGCGCCCAGGGAGACTTGTCTTCCACCCCTCCTTCTCAATCTCACGTAGATTGGTCGCTGTCTGTTTGTAGCATGCCGGTGCTCATAGAAAGGTCTTGTTTGGGCCTGCAGGGAAACAAAAGCTGCCTGTGGTAATGTGGATTTTCTACCTTTCAGCTTGTGTTTGTAGACCCAGGGTCAAATTCCTCTGCTTGGAGAGATAGCAGCGTGATCTGCTCCCTTTGTCCTCACAGCCCTAACGCTCCCTGATCAACTATCCTTGTCCCTCGATGGTACTCCTTGGAAAGCAGGCAGTGTTTGTAATGGGCTTCATTTAAAATAGGGCTATTGCTAATGAAAAATTGCCTGACAAATACGGGATGGTGTTGCATGGCATATCTTCCAAAAGAGGTGGTGGTGAGCAGCTATGCCTTGAACAACACCGTGTTGTGCAGCTTTGGGGACCTTTCCTGTGTCCAGCACTTGTTCTTGGAGCCTCTTGTGTCTGTGTTACCTCCAGTCCAGCTCCTGGCTCTACTAGGTCTGTTCACAGTTCCTAAGCACGCAAAAGACCTGGGTGCGTTTCCACCTTCTACTTGTCATAGGCAAACACTGTGAGAACATAATGTTGCAGGAATAGTTTTCTATACCTCTCATGACTTTCTAGGGTCTAATGCTCTAGGCTCTAATGCTATAGCTATTTGGCTATAATGAGTGCTCTTGTATTCTACCAGGAGAAGGTTTTTTCCTCGTCAAACGTTCAAGGCCTTCAGTTTAGAGCCTGGATAGATGCCGTGCAGCTTGCTGAAATGTGTTGCTGCTCAGGACAGCAGCTGGTCCCTTCATCTTTGCCCAGCAGCACTGGATCTGCAGTGGCAGAACTGCCTCCTAACTGCCCCGTTTGACATTCTTGCCCAAGTGGCAATTCTTTGGCCTCTCTCCACAGCAGTATTGTGTTAGGAAATCCCCATGAAGGGTCCCCTTTGAACCCGAAGGCCATGGCTGCTCTTCGCTCGTACCAGATAATGTTACTGCTGCAAACATACAGCTGGGACGATCCTGGATTGCAATTTCCAGTCCCCTCCCCTTGGCCTTTTTCTAAGCAAACCTGCCAGCTGATGCCTGGCATCAAAATGATCAAATCTAACCTTAAGAGTGGGAGTTTTTAATTTTTTTTTCTCTCATCAAAAGAATGTGCTGGAATTTTTCTGCTAAATGTGTATATATATATATATATAAAAATATATATATACATCTATGGTTAATTAATACTCAGTTGTTCTTATGCAGTGTTTTTGTAATTTCACAAGCTTTCTTCTGTTTGCTTTCTTTGTGTGTATTTGTTTTAGTGAAATCATATCCTAACTCTTTCTTCATTTTGCTAGTGAAGCAAGCCACAATCATTCAATCACTTCCTTCATGGTAGACTTTATTTATTTATTTATTTATTTATTTATTTATTTATTTGAATCATCCTAGCAGTTGTTTCTCTACAGCTATTCTGGTTGCAAATATTATTTATTAAATGTATTATAAAATCAGATACCATACTCCAGAGATTGGATTAACAGTACAAAGTAGTTAATCTTCTCTCACTGTGCTGGGAATATGTTCCTGAATATATTTTAGGAGCATTCCAATATTGTCCATGTTCTTATTGCAGAGTCACTTTTTAAGCGGTATGTGCTTTATGAATCTTGGTCTTTCTTATCAATCTTGGTCTTTATGAATCTTGGTCTACACTCTGAGATTTTCAGTTGATCAATCTCAAGTTAAAATTCTTTTGACAATTTCCTAAGTTTGTCACCTTTCTCCTTATATTCCTAAATTTGTCCCATTCCTTCAGCCTCGCAGGTGGGTCTGGCTTGTTTGATTATCTTTTCAGCGTGAGATTTGAGGTCCATCACTGTATGAGTGATGCACTCCCAACTGTCCCATTAACACTGTCCCATTAACACAGTTCCTAAATATGCCCCATTTCTTCTGTACAGGCTCAGTAATAAAAATATTAATGGAATGAGTCCCAAGATGGAGGACTTGCACTGGGAAGCCTTCTCTGTTGCAACAGCTTTCCTGCCCTCCTCGTGTAGAAACGCCATCTAAGCCCTCATCTTCTGCTAATGTAATCATTTCCCATGACTTCACCTGTGAGTTATGTGTTATTCATGCTAGTGTGAGGGGAAAGTAGGGTGTATGGATCTATAACTTAGGAGCCTTTTCAGAAGGGTCCCAATGTGGTGAGTCATCCTTTATATTTGTCTTTCGTGGGCTGAGAAGAGTCTGCCACCGGTGCTGCAATGATAGTCTTGCAGAGCAGCTTACTCAGGGGGGTTAAACTACACAGTAGTTTAATGTTTGACTAACAGCTCTTAGACGTGAATGACTTTTAAAGCACTCAGGGCACAAGTTAGGGGCCAGCCTGTCTGTGTCACTTACCTGTTGCTATCGAGATACCTGGTTGCTATCGAGACCCCAGCCCTGAGCAGCAGGGTGCCCATCTTCCAAAGGAAGGGACCCAAGTAGGCCAAAAAAATGAGGGAGATTTAGTCTAGATCCCCACTGCCCTGTGGGAAAGCCAAGCTAAATGGCACCGCTGCCTGCAATGACTTCCTGATGGCACCTGGTCACACAGGCTGCCCGGACAGATCCTCCTGGGCTCGCTTTGTCTGGAAGCAGCTCTGTGTGTAGCCAGCACTTGGGAGACAGGTTTGCTTGCTCGCTTGTTTTGCTGTATTTGCCTCAGGTTAAACCTCCTGGTGTGGCTTAGGGGCGAGACCCGGATGCAAGTGACGGCACAAAGATGTGGCAAAGGAAGGAGACGGGGAGGGATCTTGGCTGGCCGTGACTAACCAGCCCCTGGGTGGGATGGGGCGAGGGAAAGGATGACAGGCTGCTGAGTTCTCAGGAGAGCCCTTCCCATTGCTTTAAGGGGGGCTGTGAGGAAGGGAACCTTCCACGAGGACAGGGTTTCTTTGGGGAAGTTCTTATCTACAGTCCTTGAAGCAGCTTTCACTTCAGTGTTGCTGCTTTGGGTAAACCCTGTCAGGGCAGGAGCACTGAGAGAGGATGAAGGAGAAATGGTATTAGGGGTGACTAGCTACACAGAGGAAAAAACATGCATTTTTGTCTTGTCTGCACTGGGCTTTTACACAGAGAGACAGATGGAAATGTTTTCTTTTGGGGAATGAAGAGCTTTCAGTTTGCAGGAACTAGAATAAATAAAGCATTCCCTGTGTTGATCTCTGTCCACAGTTTGAGCTGATCTTTACAGTGACTCTTTGTGGAAGAGCATGGGCTGTGAGGCTCCCTACAGCCTTTCCTTCTCCCTCACTTCCCAGCACAGCTAGTGTTGCCGGGAGCCCTGTGATGTTCCACACTTTGGTGCTAGTTGTCAGTCTCCTATCAAAGGCTTCTCTCTTCCTGGCAACTTCCTTGAGAGGGGCAGCAGAACAGTCCCTACTGATGCAACTCTAATTGCACCCTGATGAGGGGTTGTGTCACTTTAAATGTGTTGGTACTGTATAGACAGCAGGAACTGTATAGAGAGCGTCTGCAGGTCAGAAATGCTGGAACTGGGGTAGAAAGCAAGGAAGCCCCCTGCATCTCCTCAGCCACTGCTGTTTTCTTCAGCCCTACCGTGTAAAGGGTTGCTGAAATCAATGTTTCACGTGAAATGACTGGGTCGGAGCACACTGATTAAGCTTTCAGTGCTGTACATCCCTTTCTGTAGGGGACCATGGAGCAACACAAGAAGGGGAGCAACCAAGCAAGGTGGTCGATTTTCAGAGGTCACCAAACAATAAATTCGTTGTCTAATTTATGCAGTCAGCTTCACACGGGTTTTCAAGGGGAAAGGGGAAGCCTTTGCAGTGGAGACTTTTGCTCCCGTTTGCACTCCTTACCTATTGGGGTATCTGAGGGTAAACCCAGAGGAGCAAAAAGGGGCCTAAAGAAGCAGCCCAGGCTTTACTTGTTCCCTCATGCCACAGCCCTGAGCCCAGTCCCGGCTCATTTACCCCCTGCAGCAGCTGATGAGCCATTAGCACTTGGCTTCACCTGATGGCCAAGGAGGGGAGGGAGGATGGGATGATTTTTTTCAGCTCTTACCTTAACTTGTTGGAACCTGTCGCCTGTTTTAAGGTGGTGGAAGTAAAGCAGTTTGGGGTTGATCAGTCAGTAAGGTGGAAAGTTTCTTTCTCTGTCTGTCTGCATTCTTCATCTGGCTGCTTTTTTTATTGCCATGTGAAAGAAGAGAAGGGGGAGGGTGCAAAAGTGATTGCCTGTTGCCTGAGTGAGAAATGTAAAGCGCCCTTTCCACATGCTGGTCGGAAAGTAGCAGGGCTGCTCAGGTGAGTGATGGGGATTGGGTGAGCTGTTTCCTTAGCTCCCCAGGAGCTGAAGCAGAGAGGAGATGATGTGGTCCTGTGCTCCTGTAGAGACATAGGTGGATGTGGGAGGCCACAGGGATGTTTACTTGGGACTCCTACAAATTTTGTTCTCCATCCCTGGCTGTGGTTTCTGATCTGCAGACCTTATTTCTGTGCTTATTCCTGCTCACAAGATGCAGCACCCTTCTGCTGTGAAATGCCAATGCAGTATTGACACAGCCACATCTGCTGTCCTGCTGCATTTAATTTGTGTTAAGTAGCATCTTTGTAAGCACAAGGAAGAGGTTATTTTCTAAAGCAGGCGGAGGCTGGCTTCCAGCTCTCTGGAAGGAAAACTTTCCTCTGCAGTCTGGGAGTTGTGGGAAAGAGACCGACCTGGATCTCTAGAAAGATGAGCTGGAGCCCTGATGAATTATTGAGCATGTATAAAAGTCATCAGGCTGGAGAGAAAGAGAAGCCACAGCTTAGGTCACAGGTGTGGGATGTAGATTATTAGCTTCAGGAACGGAGGAGCGTAACCAGATCTGTCTCATGAATTTGGCTCTTGTGCTCCCTGGTTTGGTGTCAGAGCTGTTTAACTCTGTGGCACAAATACTCGGCTTGGTGGCCCTGTTTGGGCCAGGGGCCCTGGACAGGTCCCAACTCGCAGAACCCCAAGTGCTGCATTGGATCTTTCCCTTCTGGAAGCAAAAAACCTCCTTCTTGGGGCAGGCCTGGAGGAACAAGGACCCCAGTCACAGATGTGGTAACTGAGGCATCATATTTCAGCCTAGCACAGGTGAATGTCTCGGCCTCTTTAAAACCCCTCTATTCACCTACATAAGTGATGAGTGTATTTGCAGAGGACTTGATTACCAGCAGCTGTGACAGGAAGTTAATCAGCGCTTACATGTGTATAGCCCTGCAGAGAATCGGGTCATCCGGTCATCCAAATACACACCTGCCGGGAGCAATGGCCAGGGATATGTGGAGATTTTGGTCCAGGTTCTGTGACAAAGGCCTTTGTACAGGATAGCATCATAGCTATGATTGCAGTCATGCTTGGGATCTCTTGCTATATCCCTCTCAGCATGTACGTTCAAGGAAAATGGTGGATGTCCCTCTGTCCCGTCTGGCCATGTGAAATCGCTCTAATGCTGAAGGAGGACAGGATGAGGGGCAGCTTTGAGGAGCTGTGTAGTTACTTCTTGCTTGATAGTAGCTGGCACCTACCTGCATGGGGGTTGCTGGCACCCCCGTGGGAGATGCTGCCTCGCTCAAAGGGCCCCTGTCACTTGTTCTGCACAAGACAGCTGCTTTTGGGTCTGCAGGGACTTGTGCCGCACCCTCATGGAGTGACCTTATACACGGTCGTTTTTTCCTCTTCCTCTTGCTTTAATCACTGATAGAACAGTTTATTACTGGAGGAGGAGACCTGCTTCACCTGTAAACTTTTATTTCTATATTGCCACCTGCTCATCACAAAGACTTCCTGACTAAGCATACCTAGTCCAAAGCAGCGTAATAAACATCCTGTGCTGGAGCAGGCTTGTCTGCAAGCACCTTTGATGTGCCCCGTCTCCCGGTGCCGCGCGGGGCCGCTCTGCCGGAGCGGCGCAAAGGTTACGGCGCCGGAGGCTGCGATGACGTTGGGCAGCGTGTGGACAGGGCTGATAAGGCCGCCTGTGCTCCGGCTTCCTCCTCCCGCGTGCTGCCTCCGCAGCGGGCTGGGGCTGCGGGAGGCCGCAGCTCAACAGCGGCCCGAGCCGTCCGAGAGGCGCACGGCGGCCGCGGCGGAGCCTGCGCTTCCCAGACCCCCTTCCCTGCGCTTCCCGCCCTGTGCCTGCTGCATTCTGTGCCCTGCAGATTGGACCAGTGTGGCCAGTGAGCAGGGCAGATCCCATCTTCCATGCAGAGCTCAACTGGCTCTGTGAAGAGCCAGCACAAGCATTGGAGGATAGGGGCAATGTCATCCTCCACCAGCATCCTCGATCACCGCAGGCTGTCCCGCTGGCTCAAGGGCACCAGGTAACTTCTCTCTGAAGTCTGGTCCTCTTTCCTTCGTCTTGGAGACAGCCTGTCTGGAGATCCTTGGAAATACCTCAGAACAAACATGCCAGCGTTTCTGTCAGTGACCCTGAGGAAAATAGAGGATGTTTTCCTCTGTTAAAAATCTTTGACCAGCAAAATAGGGTACTTATGTTTAGGAATGGGAACTTAGGCCCTGGCAAGGTATCTTTGGTCCAGTTTCTTCCATGAATATGCTGGCCAAACACAGGCAGATTTTTAACTCTGAAAAGTGAAAAAGGATTTGTGTTTGCAGAGTATATGCTCCAGACGTCTCACAAAATGGATTTTTCTGTGGAATTTTGGCCTAAATAATGTCTCTCTATATTTATTTAGGAGTGAGACTTAAGGGAGAATATAGCCAAGTAGTGAAAAAAATAGAGGTAAAGTTTAGCAAATGAAATAGCTGACAGCCTTCTTCCAAATGGAAATTTTGGGTTATCTGAAAAGTAGGGCTGAGGGAACAGGCATACTTCAAGGTTTTATCCTTTAATAGTGTGGAAGCATGTTTCAGAATCAGCATTTTGTAAAATTTTCCCCTTGAGGGGCTTTTACATTTTGCTGCAGTTCAGAATGAAAACAAACCCCTGCCCATGTTGTGCCACCTCTCATGCAAGTGACTGCTGGGGCCGGGAACCACCATCCATCCCTCTGGGCACAGAAGGCAGTTCTGGCAGGGGGAGAGACACAGCCTCTGGTGCAGGGCAGCTCTCCTGCAGGCTCCCCTGTCAGTGGCAGAAGGGTTGGTTCCTTTTCCTTTAGTTCATCTAACTCTTCATCTCAAAATGTGCAGTGCTCCTAGCTGCGAAGAGCAGCCAAAATCCCCTTTCCTTCTCCTTTCATTTTTTTCCCCCTCCCCTCTCCTTTCCTCACATAAACCACAAGCCAGGAATGGTTGGCTCTGCTCTCGGACAGGGCAGCTTCCCAGGCTGGTCACAGAAGGGCTCTGGGATGACTGAAAGGACGTAAGGCAGCGCTGGAGGGAAAGCAGGGCTCCCGTGGCGCTGGCACCCGGTGAGCGCAGCCAGCCTCTTCTGCTCACCTATCCCTTTAAAGCTGGCAATAATGTTGGAGGGTGACAGGGCGAATCATGTGGCAAACCTTTAACCCGCCTTCCAGTAAATAGTAAGCCAAGCAGTGATAATATATTACAGTAGGAGGTCACGATGGTTCAATAGGCAAACCTGTTACTACGGGTGCCGTGCCAAGGGAGGGAGTTAGGGCTGTATCCCTAGACAGGCTTTTCCCTGTGCTGTGTCGTCACCTCCAAATACAGCGCTTTTCTATAAAAGGGCAGATATTTTGCTTTACCTGAGATGTCTCTTCCTCAAATGATCTCAAATTCAGACCACTAAATGCTCTAGGATATCTACAGAGACCTTTTGGAAAGGCTGGAATATATTCAGTTTGTAGAACAATGTAAAATGGGATTGTTTAGGTAGTTTGGCTTGCAACCTCCCTAACCAAGCCTTTCCATGCTTGGAAAACAGTGGTTGTGGTCACCTCAACGCAGGCTATGGCTCCTCATCCACGCCGAGCCCATTGCTGTAGCTGCAACCCACCAGATGCAGCACTTCAGCAGGAGCTAAGCCCTCTGCCTGCAGGCTAAGTAGATTTCAGAGGCTAGAGGAGCTTGAAGGCAGCAGGATTCAATATATTATGCATGGATCAATCCCCTGGAACTGCATGCACACCTAAGTTATGTCTGTAGGGAAACAGACATTTAAAACCACCTCCTTCTCCACCTCCTGCTACTTCTTGTGTTAAATATTAACAAACTTTGTTCATCAGTTCCCTGGTTCACTTGGCTTCTTTTAACAACAGATGTTATTACAACTTTCCTCCCTCCCTCCCCTCTTCCCTTGCTTTTGTCAACACTGCCAATTGTGAAACCCAAGAGCCTGTTGCTGTAACTCTGCCCGCGGAGCCTGGCTGCTGCCCCAGCTCCGTGGTCTCGCCCACCTCTCTCCCGGGGCTCACCAATGCTGCCCGCGTTTGGCATCTGCGAGCAGCTCGCTGCAGACAGAGACTGAGCAAAGGGGACGCAGAAGAGGAGCCAGGGGAGTTTCTGCTGTCTGAGAGGAGGTGGAAGAAGCAGGGAGCATGGCCAGCGACTCCAGCACGCTCCCCCGGGTGACTTTCCAGACACCAGAGAAACCTGAAGAGGAATCATCCCACAGGAAACTGGGCAAGCTGACCATCAAGTACAACCGCAAAGACCTTCAGCGCTGGCTAGAGCTGGAGGAATGGATCAATGCGCAGCTGCAGGAGCTCTACCAGTACCAGGTGAGGAGCTGGGGCAAACGGCCTCTCGCGCAGTAGGGGAAAGGGACCACAGACCACGTATGCTGTGACAGCAGCTGTTTGCTTTTTGGGGCTTACTGGGAGTAGATTCTCAGCTTTTGTTAGGTAACGTGCTGCTGCTTGCTACGGCACTGTCCGAACAGTGTGGCCGTGGTGCAGCCGTGGAAGCCTGCACTGATATAACCCGTCTGGCTGTAAACTGCTGGGCCTTGAACCTGCCGGGAGGGCAGCTACTGCTCAGCACAGGGAGCTGGACTTGGAGAGATGCAGCAGCTTGGGAGGCTGCTCGGCACGGAGCTCCGTTCGGGCAGTGGCTCCTGGGCCAGCAGTGCCTGAGCTAGCCAGGTTGAAGCTGCTCAGTGTCTCCTCGTTCCTCTGGTCACAACAGTGCAGCTATAGCTGCTGCTTGGAGGAGGACACCCAGGGCAATGCCCTCTCTGTCACGGCAGGCTCTGGGCACATTCCTGGCGGCAGGGAAAGCATGAACAAGTATGTGCTCAGATGGTGTGTATGGATAAGTTGTCGTCATTACAAACCCCCAGATCTGTATTCCTTGTCCAGGTTTGCCTTAGCACTACGAGCAGGCCGTCCTTCCAAATGCTTCCTGCCTACCTGCAAGTTGTCAAATGAGAGATCCAGGAATGCCCAGGTCCAGCGCCTGAATGAGTTTTTCCTCAAGTTATTGTAGGATACATGATTTTTTTTTCTTCAAATTAACACGAGATTTAAAATAATTTCCATTCTGATAGTATGGATTCTATGCATATTCTGTGCTTGGGTGGATAGTTTGTGTACTGGGAGCTTGCAGAAGGATTGGTGCTGTCCCACCCTTGAGATGATGATTCCTTTGCAGTGTGGTACAGAAGAGGTGACAGGATGTTCCTATGTTGTGCATTAGGGTCTTGAGCCCAGCTTAGCTCATTGTAATTCCATTATCTGTAGGGAAATGGCTGATACAGCCAGAGAACATAGCTGCTCATGTGAATTGCACCCATTAGACCACATATGTCTTCAGTAGAAGACAGGTGGGTTTAACAAGTTGGGTAAGATGGTTTATACACATCCTGGATGGATGGACTAAATGAATGGCAAGGCATTTCTGTCATGTTTTCCATATTCCCACTCCAGCACAGATTAAGGACAGTTCTGAAGTATGAGGAGAAGTTTCAAATTGCAATTAACAGTGAAAGCAGATGTTTTAGAACCACCTAGGAAAGGCAGTTTGAGGCTCTATGTCATACTAGTTAAATGAAGCTTTTGTCTGTTCGGAGACAATTTCAGCTAAATATTAGGAGCTTTCTCTCAGGTTGTTTTACTTTTTATTAGTATCATTGTTTTCTGTGTGATTATTTTGTATTTGATATTTATGGAAATCTACTGCATTCTTTCACCACGTCGTGAGAGAAAAATAATTACTATTTGTGCTGTATTTAAAGAAGATGTAGGAGAAAATAAATATGGACAAAGAACCTATGTAGGACATTTCTTTTTCCATCTAGGACATTAAATATTGCACACAGGAGCAGGTGTCATCTCCAGATGAGAGTCAGAAAGGCAAAACTCAATGGCTAGCACTTGCAGCTCGGGAAGTGCTAGACTGATGGGTCCTGGTGACTGCAGACTGTTCAGATGAGCAAATGCACCTTTCCTTGCCAGTTGGTTTCTTTAATCTGAGGATAATTAAAGTTGATTTATTTCATCATGTCATTCAAAATGATGCTAAATCCCTCTCTATGTGCTTTTACTTTCTTTAGGTTCTCTTCATTGAACGCTACTGTAGAGTTAAGGACAAGCAGCTCCGTGCTACTATGAGGGAACCTATAGATTGTATCCATCCATGTTCCCAAAATAAAAATTACACCACTGAGTTGGCAGACACACCAAAATGCCACTGTGCCCCCCAGAAAAGAGAAATGCTGCTCTAAACATTGTTTCCTGCCAGGCAGTGTCTGAAGGAGGTGGGAGAGGATCCCATTTCCAGCTTTTATATTTCAGTTTGTGAAATTGTCAAAATGAGAGAACTGACGGAGTCCTATTGAACAAAATTTCAGAGGTTTAAGGGCTAAGAGGGGAAGCTCATGGCTTGAAGAACTAAGTAAAGGTGACAAGGTAGCTCTGGGGCAAGGAGAATGACTGATGCTGTGAGCAACAGGGCTTCTAAACCTGTAAGGAATTTTTGCAGTTTTAAGCACCAGTTTAGAAAAGTGTTTTGAGAAGGATGACAAGCCATTTCTGGTACCACAGGTAACAAATAAGATGCAACTCCCTGTGTGTTATTCTCATGTTTCTAGATCTACGCATATATTTTTGTAAAGGTGTCAGAAAACAAGTTAGGTCACCTTATCACTTCCGCTTTGCTGAGAATCGGGTAATTGGGAATGGTTCATTCTCGTAAGAGTAGCTGTCCAAAGGGCATATATTTTCCGTATTACAAAATCCCAGCAGGAACAAGTAAATGAGAAATGCCCTTACAGGAACAGTTTGCCTGCGGATTGCTTTTGCTGGCACTGCTCCAGTACAACAGCTTTTCCAGCTTTCTGGAGTATTTCTGGGGCTAAATCCAAAGGTTTGCCAGCAGGAACTACATAATGGGATGCTGTGTAGAGTCAAAGACTTTTAAGAAAGTGCAGCAGAAGATTACATAGGTTCCTTTAAAGTCAATGACCTGCAGACACCCAGGTGCCTAGCAGGTCTTTCTGCTCTGTGCACTGTGGCAACACTACTAGCCCTACTGCTCTGGACTGCCTTAGATGTATTAACTGCTATGCAGCTGCCCCGTCAGCTTCTTCCATTGCTCCACCTGCTCTTGGACATGTAGTGTCTTCTGGAAATCAATGTGGGAAGATTCAGAGAAAATGAGTTTCCTAGCACTGAAGAGAACAATGCCAGTTCAAACTTCATATCCTGATATAGATTATCTGAATGCCATACTCTTCTCTGTCATGAGGCTTTTCACAGCAAAACTGGGACTCGAGAACCAGTTTGGGCCTTCAAGACAATTCCTTTCACTTGCAAGCTTCATCACAGTCCATGCTTAAACCAGAAAGCCATTGGGAGTTCCTACCCCACCTCGCCTTCTGGCCCATTTAGCTTCTTAACTAGAAACAAAGACTCAGGCAGTATCTGTTGTCTAAACAGACAAATAAAAACAGACTTCTAAGGGAAAATGTTGTATGGGTCAGTGTTACAATATGTTTAATATTGTTTTATTACTAATTATCAAGTGAGGTGCAAAACAAAGCTGATCTCTTACTGGTTTTCTACTTTCTGGCTTTTTATCATCACACTTCTCAGGCAAAAATGTTTCCTTTTTTCCCTCATTATTGCCTATAGTGTTATATGTTTCACATATGCCTCTATGAATACTATGCAGCAATTGAGTATTATACTGCTTAGTCAGTATTTTCTATTCCGCTGATTAATGTTACATAGAATCATAATGGTTGGAAAAGACCTTTTAAGATATCACTATTACCATGCTGTTGTTAAAGATTTGTTTTGCAAATACACTGAAAAACACTGTTCCTACCTTAAATTCTTGTAGGGATTTGTGAAAATAAAACATGTCTAGTACCCAGTTAACATGTTTCAGGATAATACTCACATGCACTACAATATTATTTTTCAGTCAACAAAACTTGAGGCTTCCATTGAAGATGATTGTCATATCTCTCTTATGTCTGTTAGAGAATGCTGAGGAAATATTTTTAGGCCTTTCAAAAGCATAATTCTCTATTACTGCAAAAAAGTCTTAATGCAAATAGTATGTGGATATATTTATAACCAAAAATCTATGCCCTATTTGTAAGCACCATCTGATATTGGAATGCTTTGTATATTGACCTCAATTTTGCAGCATAGTTTTATTGTAACTAGATATTGTTTTCCAGATATTTAGTTTTCAAAGATCATCCTCTATAGAGTTCTGACAAGCCTGGATGTTGATTAATGGTGTATTTCTGTCTTTCTAGCTAACAGAAGAAACAGAAGCAGCAGCTCCCGAACCGGAAATTGATCTTGAAGATCTCCTGGAGGTTCCTAATGAAGAACAGAAATTAAAACTGCAGGTCAGATAAAGGGATTTGATAACTCTAAGTTAGGTATTTATTTCCTCTGTGATATGGAAAAGAAGCAGTGGTGTGTCAGCTGCATACTACTTAGGAATATCCTAAAATATCCCAGCTTCCTTTAGCCTGTGATGTGTATTAACATCATATACCTCTTTTTTTCTTTTGCAGTTAGAGGGGGTGGGGAAAGCAGCTCAAGTTATAAAATACTAAAGTGATTCTTCCTTCTTGGCTCATAGGAAATCCTTCAAGAGTGCTCCAGCCCAACAGAGGTGAGTGAAACCCTGTGAGCATACAGGGCCATTACGTTGTGCTGTGAGGGCGTGTTTGTCGCTGCCTGGCTGAGCAGCCAGAATAGCGCTGTGCATAACATGACACCTCATCTTTAATTCCCAATGGGAGGTGTTTGCATTTTATTCCACTATCTTATAAAAAGGAATGTAAATCTACAGGAGTGAGCTGAAGGCAGAGTGGTGGAGCAGATAAAGGATTCTTTGCCTTTCCTTTGCTGCCCTGAGGGGTTATTTGGTTCTCCGTGTAGAAGAGGCCCCTTTCCATGAACTTTACAAAGCCCATTTCTGAGGACTAAGGAATTTCTTAGGGATGAAGGAAATGTCACAAGCTGTCCTTCTGTCCAAGGAAGCAGAGCCCAGTATTCTTCAGTGCAGCATACACAACACACAGCAAGTGTCCTCACTGCACTGCATCTCCGTGCAGAAAGGGGACAACCATTGCTACTCTAGCCAAATGCATTGCATACAAACTCTAAACTTTAACGTTATTTGTGACTCTTGTGCCTTGTCCAGCCCTTCCATGTGGCTGCACAGTGATAAGCCTACAGAAAGAGATGGATGTATGATTTTCAGAGAAGTCCAGCTTGGCCCTATCTCTCCTCACAGACTGTCTCGAGCATGGTTTCAATAAAGCTGGCAATAGGGAGATGGCTTCAGAATTTTTAATCTCCAGATCTCAGGCAAGAATCCCCAATTCCCAGGCAGATAACTGGAAAGAGTAACTATTCAGGAAGCATGAAAGTGTCTTGCTGACTACAAACTACTCTTGCTGCCCCCTTAGCCAAAGTGTGCACCTGCAACCTGCAGCCACTGGTGTGGAGAAGCTGGGCTTCCATACACCACCAGGTATTGCAAGCTGCAATACTTCAGTGACCTTACCTAATTACAGGGCCACGTAGCGATCATTTTGGATGAAGAAAGATTGCACACTCCTTTATGGTGATGTTGCTTGTCAGGGAGAAGGTAAAGGTAAGTTTGCACTAGTCACATCAATTTCTGCTTGGAATAACCAGCCGCTCCAGTTCTGTTCATAGTCCTTGGCTGTGTCAGCAAGGTAGTTAGGATTTATCTTCAGTAACCTCCCCTCTACCTGGTCTGCCAATCCTGTCCCTGCTCCAGGTTATCATTAGTCCTCTGTGTTTTCTGCTCCACCCCATCTCTGCCAGCCACCTCCTTGCAGAAATAGCCCAGCTCCAGGATGGTTTGCAATCCACACCATGGTGTTTAGACTTGACAGGTTGAACAAGGAAGCAAAAAAGGAAAAAGGGACAGGTTGCTTTGCCCTTCATGAGGAGGGCATCACATGTGGGTGGGAAGTATGTTGGCAACAGGAAGTGGTAGAAGAGAGGGCAATTGCATCCTGAGGTCACCTCATGGTGGAACAAGCAAGCATCAGGCATGGAGAGTGGCAGACTGGCAGATAAGAGCAATGCAAAACAGAGCTGCCCCGAGGGAGGCTGGGGAAAGGAAGAAAGGCTTTTTGACCCTTCGCAAGGGGTCATCAAGTTCTCCATGCCTAAGTGAAAGATAGGTTTGCTGAATGTATGTCAAAATCTTGGACTTTTTTCACAGTGAAGGGAAATGTGGGAATAATGCAGAAGATAGAGCACTCTTTGGACTTGCAACAACCAGAACTGGCATGACATCCTTCTTCTCATTCTCACTGTAGGACTTCATTACAGAATTGCTCAGTCGATTGAAAGGTCTCCGGAGGGTCACCAATCCTCAGAAGAAATGACCCTGTCCAGACGGGAGATCCAACACCAATCAGCCGAAAACATGAATCTTCCCAGCAAAAACAGAGCATGAGGAAGATCACTTCCTCATTTTAGGACCTACTGCTATTGAGAAGCATCAAGTTTATGAATTATGTACCAGTGTTTTTGAGTCTTGACTCCTTCCCAATCTACGTGGCAAGGGGCAGAATTACCTGTTTTCTTGATTCCTAAAAGGCACGTCAACCTGGGGAATGGGACAAGATATCCCTTTTTTGTTTTTTTTCCCCTCCCCTCCTCTTCCTCCTAGGAATTCCCATTCTGCCTGAGAAGCACTGAATACATGTCTCCAAAGCTCATTGAGACTTTTTTTTTTCCCATTCACTGCAATGAAAATAAGGCATTGGTTATTGCTCCTTTGGCAACATGGAAAACAAGTTCTTGTTAAGCTGCACTCTGTTTTAGTCTACGCTGGGATCCAGCTGTGACTTCTGGCCTGTTACTGCTGTATCCAACTCTACAGCACTGCACATCCTTTCTACTTTGTTTTTATTAAGCCTTTGTTATTCATAAAGGTTGGACAGAAAAATATACGGTAGGATGGGAAAAAAGCTGTTGAGTTTATCTGGTCCATACTTAAAGGGGAGATGACAAAATAGCTGCTAAGGTAATGAAAGATTGATTTTCCTCTTTGTGTGGAATTCAGGATCTCTTGATGACTTAGAAGATGCTTCTAAAGGAAGAAGTTCTGGAAATGCTTTTTTCTTCATTTAAATAGACTTTGAAAAAAAAACTTATTTTGTATATTAAAGCAGATAATCAGTCACAAAATCCTGACTTTTTCTTTCTTCTTAGTCACTAAAGAAAAACTGAAGTCAAAACATACCTGTTCCCAACTTCCATGCAGGGTGCCTCTCAGGGCAAGTCATTGGTGGACAGAGAGGTCTCACCTATGAGAAATGAGGCAGGAAACTGTGTCTTGCTGTACAGACTGTTCTGGCTCTGACTGGAAAAGTACAGAGGGAAACCACATCCAGCCTGTCAGCAAGTCAGCAACATGACACCTGTGGTAAGGAAATTAGGCAGCAAATGGAGGATGATTGCTTAGGTAGGGCATACTCCACATCTGTCCAGCTCCTGTATGTTCATGTCTGCCACTTAAACAGAAAAGATAACCAGAGGGGCTCTGACATACCAAAATGTTCCAGACTGGACTTAAGAGTACATGTTGCATCAGACTGTAAGGGACTGAAGGGGTCAACTCTACAAGAAAGATATGTAGGTTAGTTAAAGATAAATGAAGACCCTTGGACTAGACCAGTAATAATCTTAAATACATTGGTTTCCTCACCTTTATCAGTAACAGGATTATGACAAGTACCTTTGCCTCCTATATTCCAGCAGCAGTGCCAGTGAAAAAGATGGGGGCTAAGTGCATCTCTCACCTAGGACAAGTTAGTACACTGTAATAACAGCTCTGATGAAGGCAATATATAAGAATCAAAGCAACTGCTTCTTGCTTAGTACTTAAAAGCAGGAAGTCAAATTTGTTTTTACTTTTGACTTCTTTCAAACTGGACTGCAAGTATAGACTGAGTAGAATTTTACCTTCCAATAAATTTATTTTGCAGTTTCTCAGCACCATCCCTAATGCAAGGCTACAATACAGTGCTTGGTATGCAGCTACTGGTAAAGAATGTTTGTTTAAAGAAACTTTGACCCCTTCAGTATATCAAGGGAACTCAGAACTTGTCAAGGTTGGTGAATTTCTCTAATTGACTGTCTATTGAAGTGCGTATAAAATAGTCTTAAACACATCCTTTTCCCTTAGTTATGAATAACACAAATTCCCTTTTAAAATATTCAGGTTCGCCACCTCTGAACCCATGATCACATTACAACAACTGAAACGACCGCAGCAAATGCAAGCTAATACAGAGGCTCCTCTTTGAACTCTGATTACAATCTCATGTGTAGTTAACATTATTTTACTGTCTTTTGGGGAAAGGTCTACATTTGAAAGTTCAGATGCAAAACATGTTGAGGGTAAGAAAATCTTCCTGTGCCCTCACGGCCTGCTATAAAGACAGAGGCAAAGGCACAGGTCTGATTCTCCCTCTTACAGGTACCAGCTCCTCTGCAGTTCTTGAACAGCTGTGGCTGGAATCCTACAAGCCTGTGAGGAGTTGATAGTTTACCTGTACCTCGACTGTTCACCAGCTCCCTTGCAAAGCTGAGGACAGGGAGTAAGCAACACAGCTAAAAATTCACTGCTCAGTTAAAGTTTACACAGCATTCCTATTTCACAATGAGAAATCCAGCTGAGTTTGCTTTCAGCAGTCAGTTGATCTAAATAACACTCCTAGCCCTCTGACGGGGAGGCCACCAAGGCAAGAGCTCGAGCACGAAGGGCTTGTTAAGGGGAAAGTGGTCAGGCTACCACTGAAATGACCAGAAAGCTCAGCAGCCACAAGAATGTCCATTAGTGGTGCAGGGGAAAGAGTGAGCTTGTGTGTAACTGAACAGCCTCCTCCATGCATGACTAAGTTCTATTTCAGGCCCTGATCAGCTCCACTTTGGCTTCTTGGGATAAGCCCACAGAAGCCAGTATGGGAGCTTAAATAAGCTGCTTCATGCTGCAATCTACTTTTTGTTACTGCAGTGCACAGAGCAGGATTCACAAGGCTCAGGCTGCATAGCTGCACAGGAAACTCCTAGTTTGCTTATGTTGATGAAGCAAAAGCATTCAAAATATCACAAGTAATTTGCCAGTTTACCTGAGATACTGAAGACAAGCAGGTGTAAGACTACAGATTAGAATGTCTATTAACTACTTGGAAAGGACTCAGGATGGAGCCCAAAGCAAGAACCAGGTAGATCAGTCTGAAGTTTATAGGAGATATTAGAGTATCTTCTCCAGCACATGAAAAATGAAAAGCATTTAACCCAAGACAGGTTTTTTAGAGGGCTGAAGAGCTGCCAGACTAATTATCCTGGTCAAACAGCTATGAAAACGTGTAGTTCCTAGACTATCAAGAAGCCAGAACTGCATTTTGGTTTCATTTTTAAGACTGCAAACTTTTCAGGGTAGTAACCACCTAATTAAATTTTGCATAACACAGGCCTTGTTGCCAGCTCTTGCATCAGAACAGCCAGTGTGTGCCTGTCCCAAAGAGGCACTGGTGAAGCAAGGATTGTCAGGAGCAGGAACATCCTCCTCAAATGTCACGTTTTGCCACCCCTTTTTAACCAAGAGTTGTCAGAGCACAGCAAGGTGCTCTTGCAGTTCTTCCTGGGGTAACCTGCAATATTACTATCCCACACTATCGGTGACAGAGGCTACTGCAGAAGGCCCTGACTCAGCCCAGCGTGTTAGCACAAAGCTGCCTTCAGTGGTAGTTTAAGATATTTCCTGTGCTCTGAACAGGGGTGGTTGAGGTGCAGGCAAATGCTTTATTTTCCAACTCACCTAGAAGCAGTGACCTTCAGTTCAGGGGCAGGGCGCACAGCTGGGAGCGGCGATGTCAAACCAGACCGGCAAGATTCATCGCGAGTTCTCTGTCAAAGACCAGTTCTTCATTTTGCTCCCCCTGGAATCTGTCAGCCTTAGACAGCTGTCTCAGAGTCCTGGGAAGAGCCCACCCTCGTGGGATATTAAAGCTGATGTTGTGGAAATTCATTCAGGTATTGTAAAGCTGATGTCGTGGAAATTTATTTAGGTATTGGGAGCAATTTGGGGTACTTTGGTCACTGACATGTGCCATTTGCATCAGGGCTGTCTCCAGGGAGCTATGTGAGCGTATTAAAATGAGCTCTTCCCATAGCCAGATAAAGATGCAATATCCTTCATCTTCTAGGGTCACCTAATAAGGAGAGCCAAACTCTGCCTTCAGACTAACACGAAACCCTTGCAGACTAACGTGCTGCTCTCACAGACTACACTGAACTTCCACGTTGCCACTGCTGCTCACAGCAGTGTTTCCACAGGAGATTACAAAGCAGCCTGCGACTGCACGAGCAGCACTGCCAGCGAGGCAGAGGAACCACCCCTGCAGCCCAATTCCCCTGCACCTTTCCAGCAATACCATGGAAACATTTCTGGCACCTTCGTGATCTTTCATTTCATTGCCCAAGCCACGTGGCACTAGGACCGAGATCCCATTACAAGAGTCTGTCGATATTGTAAAGGGTTATCAGGCATGCCCAGGGAAGACTTTAACCACAGGCCTCTGTAAAGAGTTTTTATTACGCTTTGGAAATTCTCATTAGTCATGTGATCAGACATGTGATCAAAACAGTTCTCTTAGTGCAAAGTGCTCTGCTGCCTGTTGAACCAACGTGAGAGCTGTTAGCGAAAGCAGGATGTTATTTACCAGACAGCCAGAACCACCTTAAACACACATCTTCGCTGCCATCCACTTTGCCTTATCATCTGTATTTTAAGACTCATATTCTGTATTTTAAGATTCATATTCATCTCCTTGCACCAAGTCCTCATTTATCACAGGCACGCATTACAAACCCACCACTCCTCTAGCTGTTGCACACACACCAAGCCTCTGTGCTCAGATTACAGCACAGCCTTTAACTGTCCAAAACATGACCCATTTTGGCTGAAAATCCACTCTGACTCTTCCCATCTGGCCAACTCCATCTTCTCCAGTTCTCCAGCTCCTTTTCTGCCCTTGAGGAGACTGATCACTTCTGCTTGCGAGGAAGATGATAGCGGGAGGTGTGGTGGTCCTTCAGGTCAAACTCATCGTGGCCTTCTCTGAGAAGCAAACACAAACTGTAGTGAGGAGAAGATACGCAGGCTTGGTGCCTGTTCAAAGACACAAGGTATCTCCCAGCACCCCTACTAGAAACCTATCCCAGGGGCTGCCTGGGAGGACCCCACTAGCAGCCACGTGCACTGACACCTTCATCTGTCTGCATGTAATAGAAACCTCTGAGGTGCTTCGTGGAGAACCAGAAAGCTCTGCTCATCCTTAGCTGCCAGCAGGGGAAGTGGCAGGAGGCCTCTCCACCTCGTTCCCTTTTGAAGAGATTCACACTGCTCATTTTCAGCACTACTGCTGCGACTCATGAGTGTTGTTAGCAGCTCCCACAACAACAGCCAAAATGAGAGTCTGCTCCGTAAAATCTGAAAAATAACTGTTGTGGCTAAACTACACTATATTGGCAGTTGTCCTAACTATGATAAAAAGCAGGCAGGGTTAAGATGTCAGCTCTCATTTGCAGTGTGCAACTGATGCACTTGCTCTCCTGCAAGCCTGCTGATTTTTCTTTTATTGATTCTGTGTAAGCTTTTTGTTTTTGTTTTTTAAGCATCTAGCACTGCCAATCACATGCTTCCTTACACTTTAATACATTCTTCCCCACTCCATTCCCATCTCTCTGCAAACCCCTCTGCAGGAAATGACAGAACACACATAAGAGCATCTTTTCCCTCCCTCAACCAGATCCTCACCTTGCTGCAGTCTAAATGTCTACCAGCTCTAACATGAGTCAACGGAGTTGACTCCAGTGCTTTTGAAGCCTGACAAAAAGAAGCCACACAAGCTGTGATGAACAGCTTTTTATCCAAGGGAATTAACATCCAAAACTAGACATACAGCTTTTTGTCAGAAATCAAATTACATGCGTTTAAGAACCATGACTGTAACTACTGTAAAATGTGACTGAGGGAATAAGGTTCTTCCATATACATTTCAGATATTTATATGGTTTAAGACTGCATGGTGTCAACCGAAGAGAAGCCTCAGGAATTCATACCATCTGACCTTGCCTCCTGCGAGAATCCAGCCCAGCTCATTTATCATGTTCCATGAACAAGCTGCAGACGAGCTGGACAATGGTTCCACTCAGCCCGTCCTTGCGGTGCAGCACACGAGCTGCCCGGGGGGCACGCAGACAATGTGCCCACACAGGCACCGTGGCAGCGCAGAAGGAGCCTTTCTGCCCAGAGCCAGCTTAGCCCCCTAAAGCCAGGGTCACCATTAATCTCACACACGCTCGCCTTTAAGGAACAGCACTCAGTTCACTGCTGGATTCCCCGCATCTCCCTGCACGCAGACAGGAGGCCAAGCCTCCCTGGGACCCCCCTCCCAGGCCAAGAACAGGGGGGGAGCTACCGAAAGCACCGCTGGCAGTAGAGGTCCCCGTCACAGCCGTGGCAGCGCAAGGTGGCATCTTCGTTGCAGATACAGCACCAGGGTAACTCCTCATCACTCTCGTCTGAGGTGGGAAGCGCCACGGCCACCGAAGCCTGGCTCTACCTCAGGAATAAAACAGGAATGCAGAATTCAAAGGAGACATACGGGACTTCCATTACAGTATGTGGTGGCCACGGTGACGCGTACAGTACAAGACTGTGTTCTCTGCTAATTCTGAAGTCTAAGAGATGAATTAGCCTGGAGCTCAAGGTTAAGGTGCAAACATATGGGCCTGCACATACAGAAAAGCAGTCAGGTGCATTTGCTCAGGAAGCTATACTGTCAGGATGGTTAGCAACTATTCATCCTCATTCAGAGTCTCCTACAACAGCATAAACCAGTGTGGTCTGCCCTGTGTTACAAAGGCTGAAGCCCATCGTGGCACTCAGTGCAGCTGTACCCAGTGAGAGGCAATCCCTGCCGCAAAGGCAGGTGCTCGAGCAGCTCTGCTGACAAGCTGGGAAGGGAAGGCAGCAGTCAAGCAGGAGTCTATCATTTTCTCCATGTTACAAACACAAAGCAGACATAAAGGCAATGACTTCCCAAAGGCCCCTATGACTGATCTGTACCTGTGGTTGGGCTGAAAAGTTCTTCCAAAATGATGATCTAAAAATCTATCTATAAAGTCTTCCTTATCTCCTTCTGCTTTACAGAAAGCCTATACTGAAATGAACAGTCACATGCAGTGGGACACAGAGCCAGAGCACTGGCAAACGCAGCCTCCTAACACAACAGAAAAGAGACAGGGCTAGCATCTACATCAGAGATGCCAAGAGTGCAAGGTGGCATACCTATGAGATGGATGTTTTTTCAATAACACTTACAATTAAATAATTTCTTCCATGGGGACAGGCCTGTCAGCTCTCTGTGAATCACAGGTCCATTTAATTCTTGTGATATACATTAGAGAAGGTGTATGCATTTCCATAATGGGCTGGAATCCATTCTTAGCATATGATATCTTGTTACTAATGCCTCCCTTTGACGTTATAAGAGAACACAGGCACTTGATTACTGTCTAGAAATTCTATTCTGCACCTGCCAAAAGCACTGGCAACCCTCCCACTCACCCTGGGTCAGCCTCTGTGGTACCAGACTGTGGCTTCTTTGGTTTAATCATACCGGTCAGTTAAAAATCCCTTCTCTCACATCTACCTCACCAGTCCTCTGCAGTCCTATCCACCTCACTGTCCCACACAGAGGAAAGCAGCCTGAAAGGATTCTGGATTCTAAAGGGATTCTAGCAAATCCTTTTAAAAGTACAAGATTATTCACATCACAGTGCTGGTCAGACTTGCAGGAGCAGCTGAGATGTTTGTCTTCTCAGCTCATCTGCCCTAGGGAAGCTGGTTGGTTGTTTCTTTCTGTACTCAGGCTAGGGATGCAGCAAACATTTCTTGCAGAGTTGCACTCTCCCGGGACCCTGGAACATGTCACTTCCAAGAGATCCTGTCCAGCTCACTGACCTTTTGCTTTGCCTTTTTAGGTAGGTTGTGTTGCAGGGATCCTGGCTGGGTCTTCTGATCTGGAGGAATATTGAAGCCACTTGCTTCATCCAAGGCTGCTTCCTCTGCAAGCTGGTAACAAGGAAAAGCGAGAAATTGGTGGTTTCACTTTTGGGAGCCTCTGAGAGGCTCTACATCTCCTTCCCTTCTCTTTGTCCCCTCACAATAATTGGAGAAGTCCAAATATGCTTATGTGATACAGACAGATGGAAGCTAAATGCCTACACTTGGAAGATGGTGTGTACACTGAGAACAGCCAGCCTGGCAGAAGGAGGCCTCAGCTAACACACCCTGCCTTGCAGTGCAGCTGTCAGCACACCTTTAACAGCATGCTAATCACACTGGGGTCATCTGTCACCAGCCAAGAATACATGCAGGGCAAGCTCATATCTCCCTTCAGAACAAACCACAAACATTTCAGAGAGAAATCTTGGCATAAACTGTGCAAAAAGTGTCTCATTATCCATGTTCCAGCTCAGTGGGAGATGGAAAAAGCAGCAAAGAAGCACCAGCAGGTTTGGGACAGAGTCAAAGAGCAGAGAGAGACCACAAGAAACATTAAGTATGAATGAGAATGCCAATATATCAGACTAGTCGTAAAGTCTTGTACTTCTTGTGGCTGAATGGATGCGTGTTAATTAGCATTGGAAAAGCACTCGGGGAAAGACATGAGACTCTGCCCAGGGACAGAAATGCATCCTTTGCATGCCCATCAGAGACACACACACACACACACACACACACACAAAAGGAAAGAGAAAAAAAAAAGTGAGAGGGAGAAGGATTAAGAGGAAAGAAAACAAGGGCACAGCAGCCACTTCTGACCTGTTTTAGCACTCTCTGGATGGCTTTCTCTTCATCCACCTCCTCATCACTGTCCGGGAGATTATAGTTTTCCAAAGTAACTGCAGAAATAACAGGCAGAGTATCTCATGACCCACACTCCCCTTGTATCTTGTGCCCACTCGTGTTCTAGAGACCATCCTCCATGGGGTGAGTTCCACAGAGACTGGCACTCTGGCTCTGGCACAGACACACAGCTCCTTTTCAGACTCTTCAAAAGGGACACTACTGTTTGCTTGTTTCTAGTGTAAGAAAGGGGAGAGAAAACAAGAGTTTTGTTTTTAAACGGTCTTATTAACCTCACCAGAGCATGCTAGAATTATCTGAAAGAAAGATGTAAAACAACGGAGCCTGCCTTTACCGCTCCAGCCTTCAGCCCCAAAGAGGAGCATTTGTAGTGATTTCATGATGGACCAAACTGTACAATTTTACACAGCAAAATCTCAGCTTGCTTTCTGCAGAGCATAAGGGAATTAAATGGATCAAGACTCTCAAAAGAGAAGAAAAATTGCTCTATCACAGTAACTCGATTACCTCTCTTGGCATTGTACTTCCCTCTATAACCCACCTTTCTCTGGGTCTTGGCCTCTAAGTGCTGCCAATCTCTTGGCAACTTGCAGGATCTTCTCCTGCCTTGTGTTCTCTTCCCGCAGTTCAGAAGCGGCCTCTGCCAAAAGTTTATTCTTCTCTTCTTCTAGCTGTTTTGGATCCAGCCTTGCTGGGCAAAGGCCACCTTCGCTTTCCCGACTGAGATCATTCAAGGTTTGCCTGTTAGCAGCTGAAAAGACACACAGAAGCTGCTGATGACTCAGGAGCAGTCTTCCCAAGGCTCAGACAACACCACTAAAGCCATGGCATGGGAGCACCTTGTTGCTCCCAATTAACTGGGTTAATGACAGGGGAAGGCATGGCAGAGTCGCATCCACATGCTACTTAGAGAGACACTAATGAGCCAGGGTTGCATTTTAGAATGAGATTGCAGAAGACAATGGTATCCCAGATGCCTTTTCTTAAGAGAGGGGAGGAAAAAAAAAAAAAAAAGCACATAAGTGCTGGAAGTAGCAACAGCTCCTCCCTAGGGAAGTGTCACCTTACAGAAATAGAAAGAAGCAATTTAAGTAGTATAATAATATAATCCTGAAAAGAAGAAACCACCTTCTAGGCAGAGACAATGAGACCCAGTGCAGAGCTGGGTGGCCCTGCTTGGTCAGTTGGGATGTTATGAAGAGGAGATAAGGACAAACTGGACACCTAACTCAACTATAAGCGAGTTAGGAAAGCATGTGCTCCCCTCCCACTGTAACACACACGTTAGTAGACAGAAACAGCTCACTAAAGACAGAATAGATACCTTGAGGTGGGACTTCTGGAGTGTAACGCTCATCAATGGCAACTTCTTCAGTCAGCTGAGTTAACAGGTCATCTGTCTGCTGGGTGAGGCTTCTGCTATCAGGGGGCTGGTGCACCTAAGTAACAAGGGGAGGGAGAAGGGGAGAAGGCAAATGAGGAGAAAGGGACACAATCCAATTGAAACAAACTAACAAACGGAAAAAAAAAAAAACAAAGATCATCCTAGCTGGGAACAAGACAAAAAGATGCCGCCACTGATCTTGGGAGATCAGCTCTGATATCTGGTGTGAGGCTTCATTAGCAGAGGTGTTGAATGCCCATGACTAACTGCAGTTACATAAATAAGGGGCAATGAATGTGCAGGATTAGATAACTGCTGGGTCCCAACCCCTGCTGCTACCATCTCCAAGGCAAATAAAATGCCATTCCTAGCAGCGTCCACTCACAATCTCCACTGCAACATGAGAAAAGCTGGGCGTGCAGAACAGCTGAAAGGAGAGCAAGAAAAGAACCTCTCAGGGACAAAATCATTCACACAGTCTTGAAGACACAGATCCAACCCCTTCCTCTATAATATGAGGCCAGCCACTTAACCTCTGTGCTTCCACTTTTAGATATAATTTCTGATAGTTAACAGGATTTTGCTTAGTAGAGATGCAGTAGGAAATGTAGGATACAACTAGAAGGCAGGGCTGATAAACCCAAATACAGATGAACAGGTTAGAATGGAGGGAAACAAAAAAAGAGGGAAAAAAAAAAGAAAATCAGGTCACTTAGAAATACAAATTGATTGAGGAGAATAAACTTAGCATTGATTGGTGAAAACAGAACACGTCAACTATACTTGATTTAAACATAAGACTGCAGATTGTATCTTTTACTGAAGCAGTATAGCGCTGCTCATTTGCTTCAAGAGAATAATCACACAAACGGGAAGCAGACAGATTTTGGAAGGGAAGCACTTGAAAACAAAAGAGGTGAAGAAGGAGGAAAGGCTGTCACGCTTCAGAAATCCCTGGGGACACCACAGCTGCTGTGCCAGCTTAGATCACATTGCCAGCCAAGGGGCTGAGGGAGCTTACTGCTCTGGGAGCCTGGGAAGGAGGCACTCTCCCTTGCAGCACGGCCAAACGGTCCTCCATCTCCTGGATGGATGGGGCAGGTCGCTGGCAGCCTTCCTTCAGTGCAGCCAGCCTCGCTTCGATCTCGGCCTCAGAAGGGATGGACTCTGCATTTCAGACCAACAAAGGAAAATAAGTTATTCTGTTACTGAAAACAATATTTTTTTCTTAAAATTGTATTTCTCAGAATACAATTCCAAGAATCATGGCCCAGACGTGCAAGCAAAAACCTCCCTCAGCCTCTGATCTGAGTGGGGTTATGCTGCAGAGAGGAGAGGACTGCCCTCATGTTAGGACCAGGACTACCCTGGTCTTGCCCGAGTTGTTGCCTCCTCTGCCATTTCTCTCCCAGCCGTAAGATGAGTGCTGCAGTAACCTCATTTGACAATCAGCTCACAAGGGATACGAAGCGAGATTCACGTGTCAGTAAAATAGTTTTTCTACTGCAGACACCACAAATGTAAGCCAGAACATGAAGTTCTGTTGTGGTCTGGTCCCAGTTGTGGTCTGGGATCAAAGTCCCAGTTTTCTCTACTCTGTGAGGTAAACCCAGTCAGAGCACGGTCTTACAGACTGGTACTGGTGTGGTGGAAAATAACCCACAGGAAACCTCCTGCAAAACAGATTGTCCAAAGGTCTCCATTTTATTCAGCTCCTGCTGTGCTTGACATGCGAATTTTTTTACTCAAAACACTAGAAAATCAGAAGATGATTTCATAGGTAAAATACTACCTCAAAATTGAGAGGCAATTTCAAAAGAAACCCCAGGGAAAACAAAGAAATCAGAACATTAATCTAAAATCGCTGCAGAATCTATCTAGCCACTGTGTTATCAGGGCATAGCTGTTCTGACCAGTTTATTCACCTCACTGGCTGAAAAGAGAGGCTCTGAAAGACCATCGCTTCCCTCTTCCCTCCAGCTCCTTATTTCCCAGTTAACAGTGTTCCCACCCTGGGAAATGCCGGAGTTCTTTGAAACTCACTGGGTTTCCTTTCCTCCCTGAGCCTCTCCAGTCTCTCTGCAATAGCTCTATCTTCTTTTGAAAGTCCTTGGTATCCAGAGCCTGCTTGACATGGTTTCACCGCTGCCTTCTGCTGCCCTTTTGGCTGGTTTTGCTTAGCCTCAAAAGCTGCCACGCGCCTGTGAAAAGGATGGAAAAGACATGACACTGCTGAGAACAGAGGTTTCAATGATGAGACATCAAGACAGTCTCTGTGATCCCTACACACTATTTGAAGACAGACAGTATGGGGCAGAACAGAGACCACTCATTCCTGTACCACGTTCCACCGCATGGGCAGGATGTAAAGAAAGGAGGAGAAAAGAAGTAAAGAAAAGGAATAAAGAAAGGCACAGCCCATCACAACAGCCCACAGCACTATTTCTTCGGAGACAGGCAATACTTCAGCACCAGACTCCTGTTTCCAAGACAGCCATATTGGACACAGCTCAACATAACCAGGTGGCTGTTCAGCGGCCTACTCAAAAGTAAAAGCAAAAAGCAAAAACAAAAGAGAACAAACAATCCCTTTCACACACTGCACCCAACAGCCCTAGAACAACGAAACAAAAGCTCCAACCTTAACCTAATTCTGAAGAAGCAAACACCCACCTTGCAAGAAACAGTTTTGATGGTCCCCATGAGGGGCAGAGGAGAGAGGGCCTGAAAGGTTACCTTGGGCAGAAGCCAAAGGGGGCTCTGGCAGGTGCAACTCACTTTTTGTAGTTCGCCGGTGGTGACCATTTTGCTGAGCTGCTTTGAGATCCCTCTCTGCAAGGCAAAAGTAATGCTCTCTCTGAACTCATGTCCTTCATTCATCCATTCTTTCAAACCAAGAAAAATTAGCATACATGTCTATGAACCTCCTGGCATAGTCCTTTCATAACCTCATTAATATACAGCGCAATTAACTTAGGAAAGGTGTCAGATGATGTAGCCACTTAGAACAGCATTGGACCTCATTCCTAGTCCTTTGTTTCTATTGCTCCACATCTGAACAAAATTCATTTAATATTCTCATGAGTTCCAGAAGAAAGGAGGGTGAATCACCTGTGCCTCCCACAGCATCTCCCAGTCCAGACAGCAGCTAGCTAAGACTCCCAGTGGATTTAGCTCCAGCACAGCAGAGCACTCTGAAAGGAGTTATGTCATGCAACAAACACAGAATTATGTAATGCACAACCCAAACTCTAAATGAAATGCTATAAACCTGTTTATACAAACACCAGTTTCCTAATGACATCTTCTCGCCTGCTTGAACGCTGCACACCACAAACACCTTGTGTAACTCTAAGCCCTGACTTGCTACGGTCAGGTTAAGCAGCTAACTACGCTTGTAAGTTACGTGCACTTACGTATGGTTAACATATCATTCCTAGAAGTTACAAATACATCTGCATTCTGCTGTATAATTAGAAATAAAGAGCCTTATTTTCTCTTTCTTTTTTCTTTTTTTTTTCTGGATTGCTTTCCCACTCAACCTTTTCAGTTCTGAAAGCTGTTTTGCATGAAGAGCATTCACACAGGCAGCTTACAGAACTGCAACCCACTGGTTTATCTATCTGCTGTCCAGTAAGGGGATATTTTTTTTCTTCTGTAACTCCACAGCACTGACATTAAACAGATGAGAGAGAGGGGAAAAAAAAAACCCACCAACAAAAAACCCCCCACACCTAAGGAAAGGCAGACTTCTTTTGTGAATACTTTAGGAGTTGTAACGAGCAATGAGAAGTTCTCCAAATGGAAAGATTGTGAATTTGTATTTTCATCTTATGCTACTCCAAAAGTGCTAGCTCATCTTTAAACATCTGCAGAGCCAGACTATTCCCCACTTGTTGGTGAAAATTCCTTGCTAAATGAGAAAAGTGGGGAAGAGAAGTAAGACAAACACAAGAGAAGGGGCAAAATACACAAGATTTGGTGAAGAGAGAGTTTCTGGTGTAAACCGTGCTCTTGTATTACCTGTGTACGTCCAACAACACAAGCTGCTACTGAATTACAACTTTTTGTTTTCAACAGCCTACCTCTGGGTTATGTCTGTGAATATGTATGTATTTTCATTCTAGAAGAAAATCAATTACACACGACAAAACGTGGGTCTTCAGGGCACACAGATCAGAGGCCTGTGGGTGAGGAGGAGCCGCGGCACTGCCTGCCCACAGAGGTAATGGTCACAACGCTGGGCTGCGTGGCTGCTCAGTTCCTGCACAGCACAAAGGGCTGCCAGCGCTCCCCAAAGGGTGAAGGTACAGACCTGCCCCTCGCTACGGAGGGGCACCTCGCAAACACGAACGTGTTCTGACCGAGCGGCCCGCGGGCTGAGCTTGAGACTCTCGGGTACAGCGCGTGCGCAAGCGCAAACCTGGCTCGCACGAGAAGCCTGCACCGCGGCAGGGGCGTGCAAAAGGGAGAAGCAAAGCGGGGCTCGGTGTCGGCTGAAGAAAGGCCCCTCTTACCCGGCGAGGCTGCCTCGGCACCGCTGGCACAGCTTCTGCGGCGCGTCTCCGCAGCGGGCAGCGGCGGCGCTGGAGCGGAGGCAGCCGGCGCAGAAGGCCCGCCCGCAGCCCGGGCACCCGCACTGCGGGGACACACAGACACACACACGCACAGACATGAGACAGAGCCGGGGACGGGGCTTCGCCCGCGGCCGCCACGTTCCCGCCGCGGGGGAGCCGCTCCCGGGGAGCGCCGGGTCACAGCCGCTGCTGCGGATCCGCATTCCCCGTCTTCAGGCACTACTATCGGCCGAAGGAGCGCAAAATAAAGGGTCTTTCCCCGGGACACGCAGCGCACATGGGAGCAGAGGGACGGCAAATGCCTCGTTTAGCAGCGACCTTGGCAGAGCCCGGCAGGCAAGCAAGGAAGGCGCGGCGCCGGGCCGGGCCGGGCCGGACCGGGCCGCGCTCCCCCGGCGCGGGGCCGCTACGCCCGACTTGCCTCCTTCCTGAAGAGCGTGAACCTGGCGGCGCAGCCGTAGCAGCGGCCCGCCATGGCGCGGCGGCGGCCGCCCCGCTCCTCCCGGCGCGGCTCGCGCTCCGGCGGCGGCCGCCGCCTCCCGGCGCGGAGGACTCCATTGCCCGGCACGCAGCGCGGGAGGGCGGGCCCGCCGGCAAGCGACGCCCCAAAATATATATATTCCACTAATAAACTCTGATTTGCACTCTGCAGCAAGTTCTCTATAGCAATAGCAGGGCAATTACAGAAATGTAGCTCAATTGCTTAGCGAGGCCGCAGCAGAATTTGCCGTAGGCTCCCGATAAAGCGCGGTGAGGAAGGATTAACGCCGTGTTTGGCAAACACGGAGCCCGGCATTCCCGCGGCGACCGCCAGGCGGGGCCCGGCCCCCGCGGGCGCCTCGGCCGGCTCTGCCGCTGCAGCGCCCTACGGGAAGGGTTAGATGGGCACAGCCCCTGAGCCCACCAAGCCCGGAAGGTTCTCCATTCGTTTGGCACGCAGGAGAGTTTAAGCAGTCTTGGGTTAATATGCCTTTTTCTCAACAAAACTCAGTTGTTGTGTAGTAACTTATACGTTCTCTGCCTCAAAAACCAAAAGGTTTCAGCTGAAAACACTGTATTCCTCTTTGACTTGATACAAACAAAATCTTGCCTAAATGTATTGGTCTTGCTCTTCATAATCTCAGGACTTGAATGCTATAATGCAATGCACTTATAAGTAAATCTGGCCTTAAAACATTCAAATTCATACAAAATGTGACTGTATGTCTGCTCAGTCCCCAAGGCCGTACTGTTCTCCTTGCAGTTCAGTGTGATAAAAAGGGCAGATGACAGCAGCTGAAACCAAAAGCTGAGTTTCAGTAGCCCTGCTGCTGCAGCAGGCTCAGTTGCTGCTTCCAGACAACAAATCAATTGTACTATCATCGTGCCAAAACCTGCTTTATTTTCTGTCTTGCCTGAGGACTTCCAGTCATCTTGTCATTCAAGGGAATGTTGCCTCCACCACAGTTATTTACTTATGTAAGAGAAATACATTTTAAATTAAACAAAGACCAACAAGTAACAGTTTTCTGTATTTCTCTGGTGCTTTATTCTAAGTTGTTTTCCCCTCCCCTCCCAAGCAGTAATAAAAAAATCTCTGTTCTGGCTTTTACAGGTTAAAAAGCTGTACGCTAGGAAGTCCCGACTTGCCACCCTGGTAATAACCTGGACAGGACCCTGTTCCAAGTGCACAGATTCCTGGAAGTGGCTGTGTTTATCACAGCTCTGACTTCACCTACAATGAAGGTAGCACCTGTTTTGGTTCACATGGTGTTTATATATATATGTATGTGAGAATAAGATATATTAGTCACTGCTAGATATCTCTAAGGTTAGATTTTTGCATTTTATCTTAAGCTGTGTTTTAAGTAAATGCTGAAGTTTTATTTGAATCTCTTTAAAATCCTCCTACAGTGGCATTTGAATCCTAGACCTTTGGCCATACTACTATTTTTGTTCTCTACTGCTTTTGGTATTAGCTAAATTCATACATCTCATAACTGAACATTAATGGCAGCTTATAAATGGACAATGCTCATATGAGAGGATTATCGAAGAGATATTGCTCAACACTGTGCAGTTGAATATACCCATTAGCAAAGTCTGTGGATTCTACAGGTGGTCCATTTAAGAGCTAGAACTGAATGAAAATGAACAGCAGTCATTATTGGAATAAGACTGGTAGAATGCATCAAGCTGTTTATCAAAATAAGTAATGTTCTATCATTTGCACAGGTTTATAAACGAATATACATTCACTAAAGTGGAGACCACTAGCAGAAAAACCAGAAATTTTAGCAGAACTTAGAGGAAAGCTAAAGTTTGATGTTGCTTCAGCAACATGCTTATCCATTAGGAAAATGATTAACAAGAACCTCTAACAGCTGATAATGGGAATGCTCAGATCTTGGACAGAAGAATCTTTCATATGAAAGGAGGAACTTATTTGTAAATTCAGTCCTCTTAAGAAGTGGAAGATGTCTCTGTATAGACATGATGTTTCACACCTGATATGATGCCCAAAATTCCAGACTCCACCTGCATTCAATAGGCTTTTTTAGGTATGTCATTAAAAATATATTTTTGGTATATAAACGCCATGGACAGTTTCAGTCCCGATTCCAGCCATTGTTTATTTATACAAATGTCTATCACAATTTCCTCTTTATACTTTCCCTGTTTGTTCTTAATATTAATGCTTTCCTTCTAGTAAAATCTATTCCCAAATTTAGTTCACCTCACAACAGGGGATTAATTCAATTCTTCGAGCTGAGGTGCTGCATCAGAATCCTGGCTTGCATTCTCAATGTAAAGTGCTGATTCCAGGCCAAGCTCAAGTGCCAAAGTGCCTATATTACCTCTACAAACAAGCTTTGTTTCCAAGCACGAGCAAGCACATCCCTGAAGGGTGGTCTGTTCACATACAGAATGCAGACTAAGGTAGGTTATAACATTTGTCAGAGTATGTGTTAAAGTTGCACCATAGCCATATTCTAAAATCTTTTTGAGCCTACTTTCTAAGCAGCTCACTGTATAACATGATAAGTTCTCAAAAATCTGGTTCCAGAGTTTCAGTTCTGCTATTGTATTCAGCAACACCAACAATGGGATCACTGTAACAAAGTTGGGAGTCTCAGACAGAAACATCCCATGGACAAGGAGCATTTTTGTCTGTAATTCATCATGCAGATCACACTGCTGTAGAACTAACAAGCTAACAGTTCAGGCTTTAAGCTTCTCAGGGTCATTCAGGCAACTTTCAGTTGAAATTAGTGGCATTTTGACTTTACCCTACATCTTGCCAGTCTCATCTTTTTTTTTTTTCTCTTTCCAATCCTCCCATCTATACAGTACTACCTACAAAATGTGTAATTCATCTCAAACCCAGGAAATTCCCATGCTATATCACTGTGAAATTCAACTAGTACAAAGCTTCCAGTGGAAGTAAAATCTGCAACCTTCTTTTTCCCACAGTATGGGCCAACTGCAGGTGAAGTAAGTCTGCTTCCATCACGTATGAGCAAATAGTCATAGATGCATCTGTCATTAGCTTCCAGCTCAAAGGATAACATTTTGAGACACACCTAGAGAAAATATGACCAAAGTACTTTGCTTTCAGATTGCAGAGTAAAAGGATATAAAAAGTACAAATAAAATCTACATTCCTCATGGGTAAATTGTGTTTAATACTGTGTTTGCAATGTATCCTGATCCCATATTGTAATGCAAATAATTAATACCAAATTGTTGATTTTATCAGAATTTGTATTAGAAGCAGCAGTAAGGTGCACTACTGGTTTTGCACACTTTAAATTCTATTCTCTAGAGAAAAACAGCAAGAACAGCTGTGCAGTAGCTCAGTGTTATAGTGATTGTTACATAGAGCAAGATATACAGGTACAAACTAAATTCATAAGAGTTTACATGCACATGTATAGTTATTCCCTTAATGACATCCCAAATATCAAGATTAGCACAAGTTTAATTGTGTTTGTGTTCAGAATTTCACTCTAAGAATACCTGCTTAAAATGTGAGAGTGTCTATTATTCTTTAAGGCAAAGGGATTCTATTAGAGAACGCTGCTGAGGTCAGCAACAAAATTCCTTTGTGCGTTACCTTGTATCCTACTGGAGATTTAATGATCCAGTAGCATGCTTGGTTTTTGGGGTATTTTTGGGGATAGTTTGGAGAGGTGATGACTCCATTTGAGACTGTGAAAGTATCTCCACAATTCACTGTGTATAAAGGAGAAAAAACAGAGAAGCACTCATTAACAAAAGTATTTAGACAGCAAAAAAAAAGTGAGCTTGCTTATGTTCTTGTGCTTTTCTTTAAGCCAAGAGAAAGCTTGCTACATGAAAAACCTACTGCTCAACTATGTTGTTTCTTTACCTAGCATTTTTATCAGCAGCTAAAAGCATAGCTACTAAATTACTAGTTCTGTCCTCCAAAGGTTAACTTAAAGAAATGTCCATCTTTTACAGTGAAGTGCTACCATGTTAGCATGGTATTCTAATGGGGCTAATTTACTGCACTTCCAGCAAAGAACCAGATTAAGTATCTTAGACACTATTGAAGTGAATTGAGCTTTGTAATACATAATAAAAGCCTTTAATCCAGAAGGTAAAGATTACCCAAAGTTATCTTTGAGTAAAATGCAAGAAAGGCTTGAAAAACATATGACCCCAATTCTGACTTTACATCTCCTTGGAGAGATTTCTTGTCTGCAGTCATTTGTGTTCTGTGGCTGCACTACTCCCCCTAGTCATTGCATTGCTTTTAAAACAGCTTCTTTAAATCAAAAGATGTGAAGCAGACTAGCAAGGGCTCTCAGAAGAACGTGAGGAGGTTCTTAGGACTACTGATGCAAGGTCAGCATCCAGTTTTCTGTTTCTTGCTCACTTTCAGCCTTATCAACATTTAGCATTGTGTAGTACACCTCCTAGGGGGGAATAAAGAATAACATGGAGAAGCTTAGTCTGGAGTAAGTTTTCAAGCTTTCATGTTTTCCATACAAATATCATTAATGCTGTTCCCCAAAGAAGTGTTTATACCCTTGATATAGGAGGCTCTGAATCCAGTGGCTGTAACATTATCATCACTTGAAAACTCTATCAGCATTGTGGACCCAGAAGCAACTAAGGAGGGTAGTGGCCCCTTTCCACAGTACTTGTCCAGCAAAACAGGAGAATTCTTGCTGTTTCCATTGTAAATTTTTACATAATCAGAAGAACAATCTGAGGACAGTTGAAGATCAAAAGCCTCAAACTGCAGGAAAACCTTAAGTGAAGCAAGAAAAGATGTTGGATTTAATGAGGGACATAGGGAAAAATTAAAACTAATTGTTATAAATTAGCTAGCACTTTATTTTACTATCCATCTACCACTGAAATTTGACCTTCTGTATAACAAGCACAGAAAGTCACTTGACTACCCAGTTACTGAGCTCTGACTGAAGACTATTGCTTATGTTTTATAAAGAATCAAATCTTAAACAAATGAAAATAAAGTTTAAATAAAAGCTGATATGAAACAAGCCTTTGGAAAATAGCTGAGACTGTTTTTCATTTATTGCATAACAGAATTAACATTTTAGTTCATGAAAATGGCTCCCAGATGCTACAGTCATAGTAGAAGAGAAATAATGCTGTATAGTCTTGATACTGTGGTTCAAACTTTCTTTCTCCTAATAAAAATTACCTTATTTTGAGGAATGCGGATCAACCACAGGCAGTGACTATTGTTCGGGTATGGGGATGGATAATTGACAGAGGAGAAGGAGCCTTCGTGTTTAGGCAACACAAAGCTACAGCAATCTGAAGGAAAGAACCAAATACTGCTGAGAAGAATGAATACCTCAGAAGTGCAAGGCTCAGCTCTCTGCAATTTACATCAGAAAAAGGCTTTGAAGAAAAAATTACCATGTTTATCAGGGGCTGAGCTCCTATGAGGGATGTCTGAGAATGCCTATAGACAACAACTCAATAAGGACTCATATATAAATGTGTGCCTAGTGTCTACAGCACTTACTGCACTTGTAGAGCTTGTTGATTTTAGCCACATCCAAGTTGCTCAGTCCTTCTCTTTGCCCAATAGGTACAGAAGGGTCAGGAATTGGTACAATAGTTGGTTCCCCAGGAGTGCTAGAGAAATCAAACCTGCAGAAGTAAGTCACATTTTAAACCAATTTCTTTTAAATGAAGTTTTCTAATTGCATAAACACATGCCATCTGCACAGAATTTCAATGAAAGGGCAAGAACCTTCTCAGAAAACAGTCTTTCCTGAATAATAGTGTGGCAGCAGATGTGTGCAACAAAAGGAAAAATGCCTTGCCTTAAGAACTTTCTCCTGATAACATAAGCTGCATCTCACCTTCATGATTCAAAGCGGCACAAAGTCTGCAATGGTTTGTCTCAACAGCTAATTGTTTATATATTTGATGTCTGAAATTTCTTTCCTTCTGCTAAACGAGTTTTCATGTACCAGCACGTAGCACATGAACACAATAAAAACAGTCTGTCTTCCCTTCCTCTCTGCCTAAATGATTCCATTAACCCAGTAACAACCTACCATAGACTTAGAACCGGCTTAACTCAGTGATTTGATAGAGTTGCTTTGCCACAAAGGCCTCTAGAAAGAGGCACAAGTTTGTCCTATTTTTTATTTCCATCTTTATTAATTTTTTTCTATGAATACCTGACAGAAGTATTCACCTTGGATTATGATGCCTGTTGATTCCATTTTAAGAGAACAGTCAAAACCATCCCATTCACACAACAATTCTGTCTCTCCAGATCTGAGCACCTGTGTTTGCTCATCTGAAAGCAAATCTATGCAACCAACTTACGCGCCATAGTGCATCACAGAAGCATAGTCATAAGGAAGGCCAAGATTTCTGGAATTCACTTTCCCAAAGTTTCCTTGTTCTCCTGTGAGATAAGAAAGCAACATTTCAGAAGATGGAAAGACAACACTCTCCTTCCCATCCTAAGAATGATACTGTTCTCAAATATTGCCTGCTATCCAATTCCAAGACTAGCAAGTGTACTTCAGTGTATTATCTTGAACATGTTAAGCCTCTAACTCAGGTCAAGAGTCTTGAACTTTCAAGTTTCTAAAGCTCTGTTGTATCTCAAGAGGGAAGTCTTGCTGACTAGCTAGATCAAAAAGTCAGGGTATGTGTGGGTGACTATCTTGCTGATAAGTCTTGCTGAGTCATGCCAGAGGACTCAAAGGAGTCTGAGCTCAAGTGGAAGGCAGGCAGACTGGCCTCTCATGCACATGAAAACATACATTATCATTCCTGTTGTGGCTTCATCTCTCAAACCCATCAACAATGACTGCAGTGAGACTATCCACCTGACAAGGGCAGTCTGATAAAGTCAACTGGAAATATCCAGTCTAGGTGGCTAGTATGGTTCTACAGTTCTTCACAGCTGCCAAGCACCTCGTGATTTTAATTCACAAAAAGCCTCTGTGAGGCTATACTGATACAGGACTGTGGCCCAGAGGTAAAAGGCTGCAAAGTCATTTTAGTTGTCTAAGCTATGCATGGAACCTATTCAGGCTCAATGGTGTCACAGGAAAGAGAAGCATACTAGAAAGGAGGGTTTCATCCCCTTTTAGTGTGAAGGTACCTATTTCTTTCTTGACTGGAGAGCATTAATATGAATTATACCAGGTCACTTGCCCATGGTAAGACAGGCAAACAGGCAAGGTCAGGGCATGGATCTGAATACAGTCTGCCTAACATCTGGGCTAGTACTCTAATCACTGAGCACTTTTCCAGTTCAGCATCTGTACCTTCATCATTGTAACTAGTGGTTTGTAGCTACAAGCCATCTGGGCAAGAGTTCAGCACTGGACACTTGTCAGGAAATCATCCTGACTCACTGTCTTCAGCTTGCACAGCTTGGCTGGCAAGCTTGCAAACAGCAAGTCTCATTGAGCGCTAGTCCTGACTAGGAAATGGAAATAAAGCTTCAGAATCCCAAATTATACAAGACATGGGGATAAAAGTGACTTAAGAGCTTCTCACTGCTCAAAACACTGTCTTACAGCTCAAAACAGTTCTCATCAGCATTGGCATTCCCTATTCTATTAGGATTTTATCTCCAATTCCTGTCATCTTCCACATTGACTTCAAAAAGATCTCAGGTGTTCACTTTCTTCTGAGGTGATCAAGTGAAAACCATTCCATTTCAGTGAAACATGTAGGGAGCTACTTGTCTGCATGTGAAGTGCTTTGCTGAACTGAATTGTCAAAAAGCAGGATTAAAGGCAGCCCAGCTGTATAGAGGGACCACCCAGCCTTGGCATCTGCCTCATGAGGTCCAACAGTGGTCCTGCCTTCCCAGACCTGGACAAATGCACAGTCTAGCTAACCCAACTCCTCTAAAAGCAACCCTAAACAACCCTATCTCTGCCAGAATCTAAGTATCTAAGTGTAGTGACTCAGGAAAGCTGAAAGGGAAGGTCTGGCTGAAGGCTCTGAACAGTTTTGTTCCCAAAATGTTTGTGGGAAAGGAAAAAAAAGCTCAATTTTGAGTGCCTAAGTGGATAGCAAATGCTCAAGCTGCATTTTGTCAAAACAAAAAGTAGGATGGCTTCCAAGGTGAATTGCTGGGTAAAAACAAACCCCAGCGAACATCCACAATACTGCAATCCTGGCCAGAGAAAAATCAGAGCAAGTGGGAGAGCTGGGAAATTGCAAAAGGTCTTGAGGTCTAGTCCTGCAATACTGAGGTCAGCGGGTGCTCTGCCTTCAGTACCACTGAATGGCAACATATTTGTACAGGAGATGTATATTCACATTGCCGGCTCACAAATGTGGCTGTAGCCTTTCATCTCTTGCTCCCTGCATATCTGTAAAATCCTTTCCAATACTCACACTGCCTGCATCATAATGCCCTTATCCAATCAATCAGTCCTCTCTCCTAATTTTTGATGCTAGAGCACCCCTAATCCTTTCTTTATAATCAGAGCTTGCTTACATCTGTATGAGATGCAAAAATGATACTTGAACCTGTGGTCAGATAAACTGGTGTGGGATTTTACTTAGGTCTCCTGCCTTAGGTATAACCTCATGTTTTATCCTCCTCTTCCAGGATGTGCCCTCTGCTAGCTTTTCCCACACACAACATCCTTGTTATACAACAATGGCAAACAACTCATAAGAATTGTGCCACAACACCAGAACTGACATTTAAAGAACAGCACAAATGGAATTTACTTGGGATATCTTGGGAACAAGCTGAAAAAAGTTGAGAACACTGTGTTAGGAATTTGAAATAAAAACAATCATGCTGCAGCTGGAGCAAAAAATGTTTTCAGCTGTGTATGACACAAGAATTAAATATATAGCATTTGGTATTCTGCTGTCCAGTCTTGTTTCCTATTATTAATTTCCTATAATGAATTATGTCCACTATTATTACAAATGTAGTAGCACAACCATTTCACTTGGCGCTGTCACAGGCAAGTTGCATCCCTTTTGCTTTCTGCTGTGCACTGCTTTCACACTTTCCTTTCCCTAGGACTTCCCAGCGTTCAGGCCTGCAGCTTGGCATGTTCCAATGTCCCCAGCACACAGCCCAAGGGCAGCTCCCCACATCACTTTTTTCCCCCTCAAATAGCATTCACTTGTTTTCCCCTACTGAATTACCAGTCTTGAGCATTCCTCATTGTCCCTCATTCTCTTCACAGAGCAATGAATTACAGTCCTTTCTCATGTCATTAAGTGATTCAATCTCATTACCCCCTTTACTCCTCACAAAATGATTCTATTTTCTCCTTGCTATCAAATTTTGTATTTGATTACCTTGTTATTGGGTATATAATGTTTGAGGTCAGCATGTCATCAAGAACTTCTTTTAGGTTGCACCTATATTACAAATTTGGTAACATTACTTATGTTAGTAAAAACAAACTCTTATCAAGAAGTGCCATCACACTGAAAGCATTGCAGCTTCCACACAGCTAATCAGTATTAACCATGGTTATTTGTATTATTGTTTTCAGAAGAAATATTCTTGTTTAGCTTCAAGAGTCAATCTCTTGAGATTTAGCAGACATACCTGCCATAACATGTTCCCACATAATCTTGACAAAGCTGTCCCGGTCACTCCGTGCCTGCTCATGGATGAAGCCCAGCGCATGGTTCATCTCATGCTGAATTGCTCCTTTGTCCATGCAGCCATTCTTCATCAGGCCGAGTGCCTGACGTCCCCCAATTTTTCCAAAGTAAGACCAGCAGCTAAGAAGAGCCGATCAATAACCAAAATGGTCACATTCAGCAAATATAACGAAGATGTACTAATTAAGCCTGCAAGAGCTTCTAGACATTCAGCCACGTGGGAGACATGCATAAAGTCACTGTTGTGACATAGCTGGCTACAGAAAGCTGCTGGACTAAAACTACAGAAAGGCAGAACTAAAGCTTTTATGCAAGTGTGACAAATTCAAAACAGTAAATGGACTATGCCAAACTAAGATTAATCAGCTCAAGTAGTTAAACAATGAACCTGAGGCAATTACACTTTATTTTTTATAGCATTTAAGGAAAATACTTCATTTTGAATTATACCCTTTTATCTTCTGTGAAGTGCACATACAAATTTGTTCCTGCAGCCCATAAGTAATGTGATTAACTACCAGTATAAAGAAAAATGAAATATTGCACCTTCCCTCAATCTTGAATTCTAGGATAGAATGGGGTATAAGAATTACTTAAATCCAGACTAAACAGGAAAGAAGCTGAAAGAAGCCAGAAGGGGTAAATCCCAGGCTCCCACTCCCGGGAGTGGGGCAACTTGCCTCTGCCCACGCTCGATGTGCACGTAGTCTGCTTCAGTAGTGCGGTTTACAAACCGCACACAGGTCAGCGTGGAAACCTCCTGCAGAGCATCAGCAATCCACAGCCTCTCTGTGACTGCTGGGAAGAAAAAGGGGCCAAAAAAAATCTTACTTGGTTTATCAGAATAAAATAAGACAGGGAGATGGGGTGCATTTCCCTCTACTTGGTATCTCAGTTTCTCCATCCTTGAAGTTTTGAGAGCGCAAGGTGGGGAGAATAAGCCCTACCTACCCCCAGCAGTAGGCACTGCAGTTCTAGAAGCACCCAGGGCAGAGGGGCAGCCGGGATAATGCAGGGGGGGCTTCTCCCCAACTCCCCCCTACTCAAATAGCAGCACAAAGAATCCCCGAGAATAGCAGCCAGGCCCAGGCTGCATTTCACTTTCACGTAATTTCCTCTGCAAAGAGAGATCTTAAGAGTCTCTATGAAAGCCGCAGAAAGGGAGAGATAGATGACACCCACACACAGTTGATATAGAGTCTTCTAGAAGAATTTTCTAGAATAAGACATTGGTCCTACAATCTTTTCCACTGGGGGAAATCAGTCTGAGGAGATTTTTCCTCTGTTTTTAACTCTGCAGGATTTCCCATGGAAGAGCATTTCTTTTGGAGATATGAAAGATCATAGAGTTACAGAAAATGTTCCTAGGAGTAATGAATTTTGACACGGATATATTCATGATGAGAAAAGATTTATTTTTACTTCTGTACTTGCTAAATATCAGCAAGTGCATTGTAGCTAGTAGGAATGAACTAGTGTTTGTAGTTAAATGAATTAGCTGGTGATTACACAGCAAGCATTGTCCATGTAACTGGGTATATTACTGTTTGTGATTGGCATATTTGGAGCCAGCCAAGCAATCATAGGGCCAGATAAGCAGAAACGTATCAAAATTTTCATTTGGACTAAGGCTGCTTTTAATGCGTGCCACGGAATCATAAAATACAGCACAGGTTTCAGCGACTAGAAGATCAATACTGATGTCACATCATCCATTTCAAGGCACTTACAGAAGTCAGAAGAGATGTTAATTGGAACCTTGACAAGTCCATCTCGTGACTTGGGCCACAAACAATTCTCACAGTTAATTGCACTGCGCTGCCCTCTTCTCAAGAGGATGTCTCCTTCATAAACACTTGTTCCACTCTCTAGCAGGTAAAAAAAAAAGAACATACAAGACAAATTACAGAAGTGCAAATGCAGCAAGAAAGGCAGGCACCAATCAGGCTTTTGTACCTTTGGAGGTTTCTTCCAAGGAAGAAAGGATTTGCAAATTAATATGGAGTGCATAGCACAATATGCTAAGACTAGTTAGATCTGACTTCCTAGACGGAAGAGATTAATATTAATATAGATGCTACAATGCAGCTGTAATCACAGCTGTGACTAAATACATATTAGCTTAAAGAAGTTTGGAAAGCTTCAGGGTGGAAAGCTATCTAGCATTGCAAATGATTCTCCTCATTAGAGCTTGTAGAGTTAAGGAAAAGTCATAAATGACCTCTGAAAACATGAAATGAACCATACAAAATAAATGACTATCATGTACATTGAGTACACACTCTCTACTGACTTTTAGGGTACCTGTTAGTTTGTCATACAGCATTGTGACAGGCTTCTGTGTTCCAGCTCCCAAATACTTAGGATATATTTCTCACACACAAAAACTGCTAGTTATTATGCCAGAAATGCAAACTAGTTTGGGGTACAGCAGATAGAACTGACTTGATGCCACATGGGAAAGAAATCAAAGTAAAAAGTATTCTGATTTATTGAGACTTTATGTAAAAAAATCCTTACTACAATTACTCAACTATTTTCTTTGTCACAGCAACAAATAAACTGAATGCAACTTTAAAACACATACGTGCTCTGAATATCATGAGCTGTTTTCCACTGAGAATGAGCATTTTCAAAGGGAAAAAAATAGGAAAACAAAGTATAGAGAACCATCCTCCAACAAAACCTTCAGTTATTTATGAAGTAATCAAAATCAAACTCACCTAAATCATTGTTTCTTGTAGCTATCTGCAAAAAAGTAAACAAAACACTTTAAGCATGTAAGTTGGCATATACTCTGCATAGCAGAAAATTTCTATCATGTAGAATCACAGCAATAAATATTTGCAATTAAGACAGAACAACGCAGCAGCAGCAGCAGCAATGTAAGTTCTTAACAGTTCTGAGAGCAGGGACACACCTGGACAGATCTACTTAGCACAAAGCTATAGAGAAATGCTAAATTAGCTGGCAGAAGAAGATACAGCATCTTCAGGTTTCCGAGATCGTCTTCTGTGGACTGCAGCTGTGTTCTCAAAGCTGCAGTTAGTTTTCTCAAGAAAAGTTTTATAGGAAAGCTGTTTTTATTAACAAGGGTAACAATATTAGACAACACGAAGCATTTTCACAAAATAAACAAGCTGCAGGAACTCCCAAAAGAATTTCCAGACTCTTAGACTTATTTATTTTCAGAAAGCAGAGGAAGTGGAGCAATAAGAAAATCCAGTAGCCTTCAAGTGACTCATCTTTAACTCTGAGGAACCCAGGAGCTGCTGTGGGTTCCCTCTTTGGTGAGGGAGACAGGGCATCTGCTGGCAGCCCATCTACAGCAAAACTCAGCCTCAAGGAATTGTTGCGCTGGCTACCTATTCTAGAAACTCCTTAGCTTGCTGCCAACAGGGCAGAGAGAAACCTTTTCAATTGTCTGCAAAAGCAAAGCTGTTTGGTTCAGAGCAGGTGATGGCAGATGGTGGTCTTTGACAGGTATTTCCAAACAGAGGAATGAGATGTTCCCTTGTTTTTAAAGGGTCCTTTATTAGTAAAAGCTTGGCTGATATTCAATATAATTCTATTTTTGTTTTAACATTGAGAGTATGCTTTTAAGCTTTCTAAAAAAGTGCAATATTTTGTGATACCCAGTATTCATCTGCAGAGTTATAATTTCCATGCAGATTATACTGAAATCATGAGGTACAAGCACAAATGTTCCCCATTTTCCTTGTCTGATAACAGGAAAAGGTTCAAAAGCCCTTAATAGTTTGTTACAGAGGTAACCAAAGATCTCCTGATGGGTGCATAATTCAGAGCAACCCCAGCTGTTGACAATCAGGATCAAAAGAGCAGAGGGAATAAAAGTACATTTCCACTGCTGCACACCACACAATTACAGACCTGAGTGCAGAAGTTACTACACAGCAAAAGCAAGAAAAACAAAGACCAGAACAGTGTGCAGAACCTGGGGCTGGTCATGCTGAATGTGTAGCAGGAGGGCTAGAAAGCACCTTGGAAGTTCTGCCATGCAGTTTCGCATACCCTGAATTTGTGGAAGGCTCTTCATAATGACTTAGTGACTTCAGCTGCAGGCCACAAGCCAGAAGCATCCCCAGTCAAGAAAGTTACACTGTGGCTTAACCCACTTTATAGATTGCCAGAAGGAACTGGGCATTTTCCTAGGCTCTCTAACAGCTTGAAATCACATATTAGCTTTTGGTGCATCATCAAAAGTTGCCTTGCAGATGCTGTTTGTCCACTTTGCATCTGCTTTGATATTCTGATAGAATATTTTCAGGACTGGGTCTCATTATCTACCCAAGCAGTTTGATTACACAGCTGTAACCTGCATTTTTTTCCTGTCTGCTCTTCCTCTCTCTATGCTGTCTTTTGCCATTTCTGTTTCTTAGCCATACTGCCTTTGATCTGTCAAATACTTTGCCACTGCTGTTTCTTAGCAATTCTAATGCAATGCTTATCACATTTTTTTTTCTTAGTGATACTCGCTTAAGTTCATCTTCATTTCAAAGCAGAGATAGAGCATCTTATCACCATGTAATCCAGTCTGTCTCAGCACAGCATTAGATAGCAGAAGTAAAAAACCCTAACACTTTTTAGTATTTAAGTATAGAGCTTACTAGCGGTGTCTCAGTAATACCTATCATCAGAAGCAATCAGATTAGCAAGTCCAATGTTCTTTCCATAACAAGAAACACCCAGGGCATCTCTTCTTCCCCTGAATTATTTGCTATCCTCGGTCTCTAAAACAAAAGCAGGTATGAGCCCAAAGGGAAACAAAGCAGAGGAGGGTTTCCCAGCTCTTCACATATAATATTAAGTAACTGATTGCTGGGGAATAAGCAGGAGGCAATACTATGAGATCCAGCTGTAGAATAAGCCAAAGCTTTGGGGTGTCACTTAAACTGACCAGGCATGTAGCAGAAGTCCTATAGAAGATATAATGCTGCTCTCTAGTGGCTTGCCATATGTGTAACTGGGACACTCCAGAAAAGCCCTAGGCACCCCCAATACTCACAACACTGCAGCTATCCTTGTTTACACAGTAGGCAGCAATGGCTCCTTCCCACATGGAACACAGGCACAAGGGTCTGTCTTAGAGCATCTGCACCAAGAGACCCAGGTTACTTCAGTAGAAGTATGAATCCAGGCAGCTGCCTATTCCCACCAAAGCTCCCTGTGGAATATGGCACAGGCAGTGTCCCCACTAGCAAGGCTACAGACCTGAACACAGGAGGCTGACAACACAACCCATTAACAGCCCTAGACTAAACAAAGCCATAAAGCCAGTTCAGGTCTATCCAATAAAAGCATATAGGAGCAAAAAAAGAGCAGAACCAAGGACAAAACTACAGCACACACCCAGAGTCACCCCAGGAGGCAGAAGCAGAGACTCATGCTCCTCCAACACAGCTTAAGGAGAGAATGAAGGTCCAGGCCCGGGGTTAAATGGAGCTGCTGGGCCAATGGGCATGGGGTGGTGGGATGCCCCAGCTGAGGCCAATCAGCACTATTAACTGGTGCCTCCCAGCCCTGGTGGTTGCAGCCAGCAAACAGAACTGCGGTTTAGATAACTGTGGATCACCCAATAGGTCCTCACTGGCTTCTTCAGAGACCTGCAGGAGACCATGGCATGCATTCCGCAACAGCCATTTTTAATCAGCTCCAACATGCTATCCCTGTATCTAATACCTCATTTTTTATTACAACATTTTTCTAACCATAGGTATGGAAGTGAGAATTGTGGCTCTGTACTAATGATCACTCTTCTGCAATCTTCTTTGAGGTCTCATTTAACATTTGTTAGCTACAACAGTTCTCTCAGGGAGGCTGATTTCAGTGACAGCTTGTACACCAGATTAAGCAGTTGTGATATTTTATATTTGACTTGCCTTAGTACTCCTAGACAAGTGTCATCTGCTCCTAGCATCCAAAACTCTCTATTCTTTTTTGTTCTGCACAGAAATATTATTTCTGAAGTAAGCCTCCTGAATCAAGAGGTTTTCTCATATTCAAGCCTTCTAAGAAATGGTCTAACTGTGAGCTTCCCCGGCCTGCCCTGTACTGAATGGCAATGTAGAAAATACCCAGCCTTTCTGCAATGACCTTATCTTCCCTGAGAGCCCCTTTTGTACCTTGCTCCATCAACTTTGGTAGATTTCCAATTAAATATATATATATATATAAAAAAAACTTTTTGAGCTGTATGAGATGTTTCCACCTAACTTTTCAGGACTTACGGTGCTATTTATTTTTACCACAAAGATATAACTTCAAGTCTTTTTATTTTGACTGCTGCCCGTGTTTGAGCATGTTTTGACTGCTCCCACGTTCAAAATTATCATCTTTTTACAATCTGAGATACATTTTATTCTCCTCTGAGATGTGCTATTTTCTTTCAATTTCCAAGTTTTTATGCTTTTAACTTTTATCCTCTTTTCTCAACTTCGTTTTTAGGGAGCTACCCTACTTAAAGATAAGTATCACTATAGGGAAGACTTCACTTAGAAAAATTATCTTTTCCTGCTACAAGGGCATTGAATTTATACATATATATAAGTTGTATACATTTAGACTCACATACATATGAATACATAGTATATGTACAAATTATAAGCATACAAACATCAGGTTGAAAATGGTTCTTCTGTGCATACCTCTTACACTACCTCCTGTAAGAGAAACCTTGATAAAAAGATTCACTTCTAGGTTCTCTGACTAGCTTTCCAAGAAGCATTTAGTTCTGATTTAAAAATAAATCATGCCATTTACTCCATCTATTTATGCTAAGCCTAGTGTCCCATGGTTACTTTTATCTTCTCATACTTCTAGGCTCCACGTGTTTCAAGGCAATGCTCACCGCCTTTGCTGTGTGGTTGATAATATAATCCCTGAAGTTTAATTTTCCCTACGTGGGCAATCCATAAAAAATGTCAGCTAAGTGTTAATTCAGATAATTTATTTTATGTTGGGTCTTTCTTCATCTATTGTTCAGCGCTCAGACAAAATGAATACTTTAACGCTGGGAGGTGTTACAGTTGGCATTTATGTTCTATTATGTATTGCAGAATTCACACATGAGAAAAACATTAGGAATGCTCCAAATGCAGGGAAAAAAAGCTGCAGCAAAAGCTCTTGTCTGAGAAGCTGCCTCAGCATCTAAACATGAGACAAACATTTTACAGATGCATTTGTTTGACTTTAAAGTCTGCATGCATTTTAGCATGCTGTGTTGGTATTATCATCTCTTTTGTTACCGTGCACGGTGGTTTGAGGGCAAAATTATTATGCTAGGAAGCAAAACTGGTTCCATACAAGAGAATGTTAACTTTCAGATAAAAAGTATTATAGACATATTACTACATTGTGCAATTAGGTAGGGATAAGTATTTATTTTGGAAATTTGCTGCAACAAAATTTCAGAAACAGGATGAGTTTGATTTCTGTGTGTTTTTAGAGATAGAATATGCTTTGGAAATAAATACTGCTAAGCTGAAAATGACAGGAAAATGAACAAGTAGGTAGTAACTTTCAGTACTTTCTTAGTATGTTCCATACTTAGAAAATATATTGAAATACTATACTGAGAAATGGGACTTGTGGTTTCATTTCATGAATAGATTCAAATACAGGCAGAATAGTCAAACCAGGATGACTCAATCAGTGGCAGAACGAGAACTAAAGCTCAGGAGCTCTATGTCCCCCTGTAGCAGCAATCCTTAACATTTCCCTGCCAAGTAGTATTTGGCATCTGAACAGCGCTGGAGCTTTCCAACTGCTCTCCTACAAGGGCTTACAACACAGCTGGGAGCTATTGTCTCTAGTCAAGGCAAGTAAACAAGCACAGAATTAAGATCAGGTTTTTGAAGCTGATTGCTAAAGGGAAACGCAGTCATGCATATTCAGAATCTGAAACAGGTGTGCTAGTTTTCAGAAGTATTTAATACCTCTGGCTTTTCCTGGCTTTAGGTAAGTTGTCTAGAGTCATGTGCCTGGCTTCATGTTTG